TGTGACACTGTGAGACATTTTAGAATGTAACAACATTGGAAACCATGTATGCCTAGTTTGAACCATTTGCATTAGCGCGCTTGCGTGAAATATGGCCACAAAAAGCTAGGCAAGAAATTTACACCTGTGTGAAATGTACATAGAGAAAGACAGTCAATCTAAAGTCTTTAAGATAAACAAGCAAATACAAATTGTCTCTTACCTTAGCTAACATTAGTTTACTAGTCTGGTCACATCGTATCTTATTTCACCTCATACATTTTAGCTGAAAAATAGCAAGCTTGTTAAGAGCTAGTTAGCTGGTACCAAACATGATCAAGTGACTAAATGATGTTGAAAGTTGTATTCCACTGAGCGTAATGTTTCCTACTACGCTTTGCACCTCACGTCCTTTAGTAGCCTTTGGACGGCTGCAGTAATCTTTCTTCATTGAACAGCTTAGCACCTCTGCTTGAACATAAGACGTGGGCTCTTCACTGTCCTCTGGTGGAGTATAGAGTTCAGACATCTTAAGGTTTTTAAAGAGTAACTACACCCCACTATTTTCAGCTAACTCCACTCCAGGCTTAACTTTGAAAAATGCTCAAAAATGGGAGGGGCACTGCAGTGATCTATGGGTCTGGATTTGGGGATGCGAGGGAAACCAGGCAGGTTGGGCGGCTGTGTTTTTATAGTTAACGTTAGCTACCAGAAAATATGGAGGGTGACAAATCATACGGCACTTTTGCAACGTTTGCGAAGCTGGAGATTTTTCTCTACTACCATCCACATCTTCAATGAGGGAAGGTGTTTCAGATCAGACAGTGTGTCTTGAGCCTTACCAGTATGAGCCACTGACTCAAGCCGCTGAAGAGTTAACGCAGCGCCAAAAAATGATTAGCAGCAAGCAAGAGAGGCGTCTAAATGGTAGAACATTCCCTAAAACCGTGCCAGTTAGCTTCTAATCATCTGTTCAGCAGGTCCATTGATATACATATTTTCTATTTTCCTTCACTGGTATGGTTTCATATTTATATGCATGGCACGAGCAGAGCCATCTCTCTGCATGGCTCTGGGCATGGGTAGGGCGTCATCAGGGGGCGGTAACATTGGTTGACTGATTTGCATACTGACATGTCATAGTTCTTTGGTATGAAGACACGTCCTCCGCGCCTATACAGAGCTGAACCAGAGGGGCGCTGCAGAAGCAGAACTGACCACAATAAATATATTATTTTTACAGTTTGGAAAGATGTGTTCACATTTCAAACAAGGCTGGTGTATATTATTACTACAGAACAATGCATTTCAGCTATTAATGAAAAAAAGTCTTATGGTGTTGTTACTTTAAAATTTAAGTATAACACTAAAGAAAAGCCAATTTGGTTATCAAAGTCTCTAATTTAACTTTCATGAGTGTAGTCTAGATGCAGGCTCTAGAAGAGCTTCAAAGCTTTTTACCAAGGCCACCTCTTACAAACTAAATATAAGGGGCATCACTAAAAAAAACACAGGAAAGAGACACATCATCAAGAACACACTCAATGGACTAAACTCCTGTGCGCTGACACATAACACAAGCTCAAGCATTCCCCTCATCTACATGCTCTCTCTTTCTCTCTCTCTCTCAGCAAGAAACCAGTCCCACGGAGACCAGAAAAAAGGGGACAGGGAAAAAAAAGATTCAATAACTTCCTGTGTCTTTCCTCTCTATGCAGCAAGGCAACTGCATACATTACACTTGATGTTAAACACAAGCAACAATAGATGCAACAGTTCTCACATTTTGCTAAATTGTGCTCTAAATTTATTAAAGATTACAGATCTTCGTCATGTCTGGTCAGGCCTCGCTACAGCAGTCACCACCAACAATGTTTTAAAGTGAAACCAGTGATGCTAGATCTTCTTTCTGAGTTGTGAAAAGCCCTGAGTAAACGCCCCGTCTCTTAGGGGTTAAAGAAGGGCTCCTCAGAGCAACCGGAATGGTGTTTAAAAACTAGTTATTACCTCGACACTGGAGTTGCAAACCTCAGCAGCAGGGCTCTACTTGCAAACTGTGGCAAATGAAAAGTCCATCAGCTTTCAGCACATTCAAGCAGCAGTTACAAATACAGTGGTCAATTTCCAAGTCCTAATGTAATTTATTAATTATGCAGGATTATGCAGCTCTATAGAGTGAAGAGCCTCAGGCCTTTATAAATCATGCCCCAATTAACAGGGTGATGCTTAAAGCCACCTACACAGCACATCTCCTGTTAAGCTGCTGTCATTCACCACCTACTTAAAGGACTAGTCTAAAAATGAGATTTTGAGGCTTTTTGTAAAATAGCGCGAACATCCTGTAGCTTACACAGAGAGTCTATAACCCTTCACCAGTAAGCATATGTGCACATATCTTAAAAACAGGTGCTTATGCATATAAGTTCATTATTGTGTATGAAATGAAATCTCACATTACACAGGCATGTATTTTCTCATGAAGTGGGCAACATTTCATTTTCAGGTTTAGCGTTCTCGGTTTGTGGGGTTGCAATGCCGGAACACCCAAAGTAGCTAAGAGCTACTTTAATGGTTCTCCTGGATAAGTTTGGGGGGAGGTTGGTCTTGGTAAGTACTGTGTAATGCACAGTTCATTATTCAAATGTCTACTGTTGTTCATGAGGTATGGCTTACACAGTAATTTTGTAGCTACCATAAACAATAAGCAAAGCATTTCATAATAGTTTTATTATTAGTTTTGCTGAACAATTCATACTAGTTACTTAAAAGATGCCCTGTACTCCAAAATGTGTTTTTAGGTCTTTCCCCACTCACAGAGATAGGAATCTGGTCTTGTATGGCTAGAAATAACTGCCCAGAGGCGTTGCGAAGATGGCTGCCGAGTAAACAGACAGTATAAGGACTTTGTTCTGGCTCACTGAAGCTTCACTGATGCAAAGTTCAGAGGATAAAGGCTCAAGTCGGAGCGCGTAAGCCTGTGTTTTTGTGTCTGGTGCTGTTAGCTTATGCTAATGCTTTTGATTTCACTATCCTTGTTAGCACCAGAGGCTAACGTTAGCTTACCGAGAAGTCTAAAACAACTTTACACACAACCATAATTCCGGCTTAATGGAAATAGATGATGCTGTCAAAATGCTGTCGAGAATCATTTTATTCTGTAAGATGACTTAGTCATCTACACAACAGGGCTGTTCAACAAATTCAGAAGCACAAATGAAGCTGGAAGAGGAATACATTTATACACTTGTTTTTATTTAACTGCCTCAGTCAGATATTTTAGCCACTGAGAAAGGCCGTCTTTGTTTTCTGCACAACGCAAATTATTTTTGCTCAGCGGATGATGTTAGAACATGCTGGCTTGTCTAGATGACACTGAACAGAAAAATATATTTTCTAACTTCTGCTATCATGGTTAGCCCAGCCACATTCATTCAGACTTCTCAGACACTCTGTGGCACTCTGTTAAGGCACTCATGTTCAGCAGAAACATTAGCAAAATAAAATAATATACAATATAATATATATTTCACTGGCCATTTAAGCTAGTAAACATACTTAAAGGCTGCTTTAAATATGTGGTTGCTAGGCTAAACACTGACATGTAACTATAGCACTATGGAATAAATGTTGCAGTGTTACTTTTTTCGGTGCCAATTTTTAACATTTACAGTTTTATAGTGAGAAGTTAATTCTGCTAGGATATTGCGTCACTGTAACTAACTGTGAAAATGTGATTTCTCAAACAGCTTGAACAGTAATGGCAGGATTAGGGATATCCTGTTGTACGGTTATTATAGTGGTTCATTGCCAGAGATCCTGTTACTGATCTGGAAGGCAAAACAACTCCTTGATTTGATCCCTGTGTCATGCACTATGCAGCCAGCATCATCAACATCATTGTTTTTAACCTGAATGACCACTTTAAGCTAAAAAAAAAAACCACTGCCAGCCCTGGATGTTTTGACTAATAACATCCCTGCATGCTCATTAAAAAAAATATTATGACCTTTGTTGGTGTATTAAAAGTTGAACCATGACATTACTTTATGCAAAGGGGTTTAACACATTCTCACATCATCACTACTACAGATCCACATAAGACACAGAGGGAAAGCAGAATAGGGAACAGATGCACACGACTCATTGCTTAAAATAATTTAACTCCATCAGACTTGGCAGCAAAGCTAATCTACATTCAGGAAGAAGCAGCATCTCTAAGCAGTGCAAGGCTACCCAAGCATCAACCCAGTCATATGTGCTATATTCTCAAAGCAGAGGAAATCAACCAAACGTCTAATTTTAAAGGGCCTGTATCATGGGACATTTCATTTTCCTCACTTTTTTGAAAACAATGAGCTTCAAAGATGTACCATTCATTGCCCAATCCATACAGTTCATATACCAAAACTAAGCTGCAAAAATGTTCAAATTTACCACACTGTTTTTGTGATGTCACAAAAACCAGCGCATACTATTCAGCCCACTGCAGGTCAGCCCTAACCATTCTCAGTGAAGTTATAAGGTGTGTTTGAGTGCAAATCGCTTTTTATGCAGAGCAGCCAATCAGAAAATTAAAGCCAATTTGCATAGGCTTATTTAGTCTTTAAGGCAATAACAAAAATAGAATCATTAATTCTAAGAGACAAGGAGAGACTCAAAAACAGGCATATATAATGACCAGCTTTTGTTATTAAAAAAACACAAATATCTGAAGTAGAGCTCAAAATTAAATGCAAGGAAAAGATCTGTATCTTTAACGCTTTAATGCTCACTGCACTGAGACACAAAGTAGAATATCATCAGTGCAGATCGCCTCCAGATTACTGCAGATGGTGCATTTAGAAAAGAATAGGAAACATCAGAAGCACTTTCTGTTGAGAATGGCGGAACGATTTGCATGTCATTTCCTATTATGCAACGCAAACTATTACTGCATGTCTTGGTCTGTTCGTTACTAACGTTCATCCTAGCAAAGTGCCTGAGTGTCAGTGCAGCGAGTGTGAGTGCGGAAAGTCACCAACCTGATCGACGAGTTTCAGAACAGCCATATCGTGGGTCACCTGAAACGGCACATCCGAACCTTCTCCAAGCCCTGAAGACGAAGGCTGAAGGTTTGAGAAGAGGAAGAAGAAAAGAAGGAAAAAAAAACGAGCCTGCTGCTAAACCACTGCGCTCAGGGAAGCAGTAAGACCCTAACAGTGTCCTGCACAGAAAGATGCACAGCGGTGCGGCGCCACAGACCGCTAGGCTATCCCTCTCTGCTTCTCCTTGGGGCCCGGGGTTAGATGACGGCCATGGCCGGCTCCACAGGCGCTATCTTCGCCCAGAGACAGCAGGGCGAGCCGGTGCAGCTGGAGGGAAGGCGGGGAAGGAGGGATGGACGCGGGCGACGCTGGACTCAATCTGCATTTACAGCAGCAGCTCTCACTTAGCCTTCACTTCGGGTGTGTTCAGCTGAACATACATTCTCCTGCTGCCTGTGTGCAGTCAGATGCTCTCAGAAAACAGGAAGTGCTCAGACTGTGGGCCCTCCCCTCTGCTCAGCTCTCTCTCTCTCTCTCTCTCTCTCTCACACACACACACACACACACACACACACACACACAGCGCTAGCAGGCTAAAGGGGGGTTTGCCTCAGTGATGCCCTCGCTTGTTTAAAGAGCCCATATCACATTTTTGGCGTATTTCTTCTTTTCCTGAGGTCCGCTCATGACCTTCGTGTGCTGTTATGTGCCGAAAAACTATCATTCTTCATTTTTACATCACCATTTTCCAACCTCTCTTTTTCCCTAAGAATCAAGAGGCTGAAAACTGATGTATGTAAATGAGCTCTGTTCTGATTGGCTGCCATGTAATGTGCCTCAATCAAAAAGCGTCCCTTTATCACTTCAGTGTAAATGGGCGGGGCTAAACAGCTGTAGGCTGAATAGAGTCTCCCACTGGATTGGTTGCAGTTGTACGCAAAAGTTTGAACACCCCCAATCAAATAACATGTTTTTTTTTTTTATTTTATTTTATTTTCTAAGTAATCTGTGAGCGTCTTTGGGTCTTTGAAAAGTGCTATATAGATGTCTCGTATTCTTATTATTATTATTATTATTATTATCATAATTATTATTATTATTAGAGAGAATAAGTGATCACATGAACACATACATTCATACGCAAGAATGTCCAAACTCTTGCATACTACTGTATGAGTAAACAAGCTGGTTTTTGCAGTTTCTATACAGTGAGTAAATGATACGCTTTGGAACGTTAACAATGTCTATATACTGCATAAAAGTCTGTTATTTCAAAAAGGAAGAAATATTCAGTTTTTCATAATACAGACTCTTTGAGTTGAACATTTTCCCTTGAAAATAGACCTATATGAACAAAGAGCCTGTGTGTGACACACGCTGGCCCTGACTGTTGACTGTCTCCACGGCTGAAGGATGTTGGCTTCTCACAATGTTTACACTTTCAACAAAAGGTGCTCATTGTCACAGAGGACACTCACCAGTTTTAGACTACTGCTCAGCAGATCACTTCTGAAATGTTTTATAGAGGAAATGCAAATACTAGCCGCAGGGCATAAATGCTTTTGCAGCAGTGCAGTCGTCTACTTCTTTCTGCTTTTTGTAGCAATGTTTGAATGTTTGTAGAGGCTGCTCTCAGAAATGAAACTAAAGCTCTTCCTCTTTCTCTGTCAAGCAGTCTGGAAGAGCTCACTGTGTGTTTGAGGTGCCCTATTTAAATCAAGGCGTGTGTATGTATGGACCATTCTACCAAATTAGTTCAAACTGAGGCCCCACAGTAAAAAATGATGAAGTATTCAGACCGCAGATATTTACAAGGAATTTGTAAAGATCTATTTAAACTCAAGGCATTAATCAAGAAAGTAATAAGCTAAATATATTCAAAACCATCCTTTATAGGGTGCTTTCCTTTAGTAGGTATTCCCAAACCCTGACCCCTAAATTTCAGCTTGTATTTTTTAATGATGTTTTCAAATAGATCTCCTTTTAAAGTGAAGTTAAAAATTTAAGTTTAATTTTGATATAAGAAAAAACTATTTACAAAATGCTGTCCCATATTTTCATGTCACTACTGAAACACAAAGAGTTTTAGTCCATAGGCACAGTCTTATTTTAGCCACACCCCTGCATTTCAGAGCAGGAAGTGAGGCAGCACCTGTCCATCACGGCCACATTGTGAGCAGTTAGATTCCATTGTTTTTAAGTAAATGTGCCCCAAAGTCTGAAAATCAGTGTGTAAGAATTCTCACTACTGAAACACATATTTCTACAATCAAGTAAACATTTTTGTGCTTTAATGAAAAACATTATGGTTTTATGTCTTTATGTAAAGACATCACTACCGAAACATATGGTAAAGTTTCAGTAGTGTTATAATTGTTTTGTTAGTGACAAAATGGAATGTTCAGTCATTTGTTTTAATAAAATAAAAGTTTTAAGGTTTAGGATCACTCAGAGCAAAAGGATTTTAGTCTAAAATCCAAGTCAGTTATAGTCCAAAAAGTGTATTCAGTTCTGACTTTGATTCAGTTTGGTAGAATGAGCCATAGACAGTCCAATGCAGAAGTTTGGTCAAATGACATGTTTTGTTGACTTTGTAAGTGAAAAAAATTAACAAAGCAAATGTTTTACATAACAACTAGTGTTCAAAAGCTTGGAATCACAAGTTATTAATAATTGCCGGTATTTTATTTAATAATAACTTATACAGTGTAGATTGAAATACTACATTAGACACCAGGAGGTACAATGTTTTTGGGGGCACCATAAAATTACTAAATGCTGAATAAAATACTGTAATTATCTATTTATAGTAAGTTCTTGATAAGTTATTAAAATTTGATCACCACCATGTTTAAATACGAGAGATTGTGGATGTTCAGTGTATTACAACATCATTTTCAGTGTTATACAGCTTTCTCTGTCATTTTAGTAGTGTCTACAGCAGGGCTTCCCAACCTTTTGCAACTTGTGTCCCACAAAAACAACCACAAAAGCTTCTATGGTCCACAAGAAAATGTAAATGATCTGATATTTTTCTGACTCTTCTAAAGAGAGCTAAACTACTTTGGTGGCTGCCAAGTGCTGGATATCAGGCTGAAGAGAGGAAATTGATTCAATTCAACAGGTTTAGAGCCATACTCAATATAGTCTCCGATTGACAGTGTAAATTGTTGGGTTTCAAAGCTTCATTTGAAAAGAACTGTGAGCGGAGAACACAGAGCAGTAGCTACTCAATTTCAGTTCTCATGCACATGAAGTCCAGCGTGCTACTCACAGCTTTTTTTCATTTCTGTTTGTGCTTATGCTTGGTTTTGTTTTTTTTTTTGTTCAGTCTGAGATATGGTGGACGTAGATGGCCCAGCCTCAGAATCTTTCTTTTGACAGGCGCTTTTAACAATTTATCCATGAGAGGTGAGTTCCATACGGTTGAAAAGTGAAGCGTTTTATTGACTTGCACTAAAAATATAGATATAACAAACATTTTGCCGCAACAATCAATGAGCTCAATATAAATATGACGTTTTATGTTTGCAAATAATCAACAATATTCATCATATTTAAAAGTATGTTTGGTTCAGTGTCTTTATTGTAACAAATTTTGCAGTTAAAAAAAAACAGTCATCGCGTCCTGGCAGTATCAGAAAGACCGCGGCCCACAGGTTGAAAACCACTGATCTACAGCTCTGGTCTCTGTATAATTTAATATGTTTTTATAGGTTTTATGTTCTTCACTTTTATTCTAGAATGTGGACAATAGTATGTTTTTGTGAGTAGGCTGGAGCTAAATTCAAGACATACAGTATTTTCCCTTCTCATTGTGATATAAGTCTGATGTTGAAATGCTAGTGGCACTGTACTATCCATCCTCATATGCAGTAGTAGTATCCATACCTCTTTGTGTGCAGATGATCTTCTGTTCCTCAAAAATCTTATACTTTTGTAATCACACATCACACTGCAAGGCCTTTCCATTTCTTTGCACTTTCATATTTAAGCTCTACTTTTATTAAATTTAAAAGAACAACCTATAAATTGTTCCCTAGATTTCTCCTCAGCTACCAACATTATCATAACCCTGAGTGACAATAAAGCAAAATAAACAAACTACTGCATTTGTGCTTGACTAGATGACATCATCTGATAGTGAGACACAGCTTCTACTCAGAGGCATATGAGAAAGTTTTGACCAGCAGGTCAAGAGGCAGCCCCAGAATGGCTCATATGCAGAGGCTCATACTCCCAGTCAGGAATGTATCTAGAACTTCCAGCTGGCCTAGAGTGATGTTTTTCCTCAAAATTGGTCCCATCCTCTGTAAATCTAAATGTGATCCCACTGTCACTTCTTATTATGTTAGTGGTGACACCTTAGGCCTTCAGTCTGAAACATTGCTTGTGTCTAGCTCCATAAGTCTTAACCAGTGGGAGAGCTCGCTCGGCTGTATCTGCAGAAGGTACCATAGAGAAAAAAAATCCTAATCTGACCAATTTATATTGGGCATTTTCAATTTCCAACCAAAACTTACCAAGAGAATTTGCAGAGTTTGAATGCATCAAGCATGATGATTGTATCGAGCAAAAATGAGCAAAAAAAAAATATTTTTAAAATTTTATAGAAATTGCTAGGCCTTCTCTGAGAAGGCCCTAAGCATTCCCCATTGGTCCTATACATGCATATCTGCTCATACATGATAACCTGCAGTAAAATGTGTGTTTTCCCATGAGCTTCTCAACAGTCCATGAAGTCTGGCCTGCCTCACTTAACCTAGTCCAAACACGTTCTGCCATGGAACATTGAGAATTACACTAAACTTACACTTACATTTCCTGTAAAGTTACTATTTTGGAGACTTTTTTGGACAGCGATGATATTCAATAAGAAAAGTTCAGGTCTTTAAAAATCATAGGTTCACTCACTCCCACACTTATCATAGCGAGTGTCCCGAATGCATGTTTCAGTTTCATTTTGCCAGTGGACAAAGTAAAATTCACTGTACATACTGTGTTACTGCTGTTTTAATACAAAAACACTGTGAAAATATTATCTGAAGGAATCAAAATCTCCCCCAATTTATTTCCCTGAAATTCTGTGTTTATAACTGAAATCCACTTTAATGTTTCAGTTCCATGATTTCATTTGTGTTCCTCAGAAATCACACGGGCACATGAAAGACTAGACACCATTTACTGCCTTTTCGTTTCAATAAATATGCTACCATCATGAGTGTGTTGACATACACTTAATAATCTGATTGTTATTATATTTTGGCAGTTATATCTTATTTATTTAAGTGGTAATGTAAACAGCATACTGTGATTTCTTAGACCAGATTAAGGTCTGGAAATCTAATAAAGAGAGCTGGATTTCATCACAGTAATTGGGTTTTTCAGCACATGTGGACCATTACTCTGATTTCTTTTGAATTTCTCAGTCTGTATATGTGTGAGAACAGACAGCTGTCCCAGAAATAGCAAGAAATTAAGAATTTAATTATTCTTTATCTTCTAGATGATGTATATATTTGTATTTTAAAGTGACTGTGTTTTAAAAAAAAAGCTGAGGCATAACATTTGAGTTATATGTTACGTTTGTGTCACATCTTATTCTGTGAGTTTATTGGCGGGTTGCAAAGCAGAAATCCAATTACTGCCTGACTCGTGTTTCAACAGGAACAGTGATCTGCGTAATAGACAACAGTGAAGAAGGTTGAAAATTGTGGTCGAAAAAAAGCACAATCAATGACTGTAATGCTCATGCATTAATGTAATATGTAAGGAAAAACAGAAGAGAAACTTTCCTTCCACAGCAACACAGACAGGGATATTATAGTCCCTTTTCTTAGAGGAAAAGGTCACTGCAAACAAATCCAAAGTTATTCACTTTTATCCTGTGATGAAATGTTTCTCTCCTGATGGGAGCGATCTCTTCCAGGATGACAAGGCCCTTCATCCACAGAGCACAAGGGATCACTGAATGCCTTGTTGAGTAAGAAAATGATGTAGCCTAAATCGTATGTTATGGTGTTTGTAGTCACTAGATCTTAACCCAGTCGAACACCCATGGGACATTTTGGACTGTGTTAGATAGCACCCACCACCACCATCATCAAACGACCATTTGAGGGCATATCTTTTAGAAGAATGGCGTTCCATCCCTGAAAAACGTCAAAAATTATTGTATTTATTATTAATTTGTAGTTGATACAATAAAACATTACATATCTTGTCTTTGTACTGCTTTTATTCAAATATAGGTCAAAGTGGATTTATAAATCACTGCTTTATGTTTTTATTTAGATTTTGCCTACTGTGCCAACTTTTTTTTGGAATTGTATTTGTAGAAGAATCTTTCAAAAGCAGACAGCATATAGCACCTCAGACCCTGCCTGGACTAGATCACTTCTTCAAATGCCACAGGCAAGCAAAGTGGGGACTGTATAAGAATATGCAGCACTGAATGCAATGCATCACCCAAAACCCACCATAGCCAGTGCAAAGCATGGTGGAGGCAGTTACCTTTTGGGATGGGATGTTTCTCTTCAGCAAGCACTCAGATATTTGAAAATACACTGTCCTTTCCTCCAGAATGCTGAAGCAGACAATTTTGTGATAGTGACCTTAAAGACTCATCAGGAAAAATTAGAAATTCAAGGGAGATCTCCGTCTTAGTGAAAACCTGTGGGAAGATATGCAACACTGTGTCCATCATGGGCAGATTTTCTGCGGAGTATAAGTGAAGAGAGTACTATGAAGTTGTAGCAGACCCCCACCCCCTTGCAGCTGTAACAGCCTCCACTCTACTGGGAAGGCTTTCCACTAGAGGAATTTGAGCCCATTTCATCAAAACATTTGTCAAGTCAGGCACTGATTTTGAACGAAAAGGCCTGGCTCAAAACCGACATTCCAGTTCATCCCAAAGGTGTTCAGTGGCCAGTATAGAGCCCTGACCCTAACTTCATGTAGTTCCTCCACACCAAATCAGTCAAGCCATGTCTTTATAGATGCCGCTTTGTGCATAGGCGCACAATTATTCTACAACAGAAATGGGCCTTCCCCAAACTGCTGCCACAAAGTTGGAATCATATAATTGTCTACATTGTCTTTGTATCCTTTAACATTAACATTATCCTTCACTGGAACTAAGTACTAAGTGCTAAACTGAACTAAAGCTCAGACCATTAACCCTCCTCCACCAAGCTTTACTGTTGGCTCTTTGCATTCTCATAGGTGTAATCCCCAAGATACTGAAGTGTGATTCACCACTCTAGAGAATGTTTCCACTGCTCCAGAGTGCAGTGGCAGCCTGCTTTACACCACTCCAGCTGACGCTTAGCATTGCGCATGGTGATCTCAGGCTTGTGTGCAGCTACTAGGCCATTAAAACCAAATTTCATGAAGCTTGTGATGTTGCTTCCAGAGGCAGTTTGTAATAAGTGATGCAACAGGGGATAGGTGATTTTTGCATACTATAGCATTTGCCAGCCTGATCCTGAGCTTGCATGGTCTACTTCTATGTGGCTGAGCTGTTGTAGCTCCTTAGTACTACTGTTCCGTTTCATAATAATAGCTTAATAACCTAATACAACATACAGTTGACAAGGGCAGAAATTCCACAGAATGACTTGCCTGATGAGCACGTGTGATTATGGGCACATTGTGTACATAAATACATACATCCTTTCAATTGAACTTGCTGTTGTCCTTGGAGCACCAGTATTGACTGAAGTTTGTCTGTTTGCTGTAGTTCCACAATACTGCACTCTAACCTTCCATAAAGCCTCCCAGGCTCTTGTTAGCTTCTTTTCCTTCACTGGTTGCTATGGGACATCAGTAGTCTTTGCCTATTCTTCATACCCTCCCACACGTCGCAGAAGTAGCCTTGGTAGTATGCCCAGCTCTATGAATGTGTGAAAAGCTGGCAGGGCCTATGCCACAGAACCTTGGCTGGTATACTGTACAGCAGAGATAGGATCCAAAATAAATCCAAAGGTTGAGCAGCTACAAATTCAACTTCATACTGATATCCATATCTGCTCACTTTCACAAGATAAAGCAATCGGATTCAACCACAGCTCTCCACCACAAACCACTCGACTTTTAATACACAAATGTTTATTCAGCCAAAGTAAGCAACATCCAAATAAGAACAGATGAGTGACTGATGATCAAAGAAGCAGCTGACAGATCAGCACAGAAATCACAACTTTACGTTTGTACAGACTTTCCTCCTATGGACGCCACATTTCTTAGCAAATCTGCCACTACAATTCACTTCTATCGGTTATGCATTTTTTTAAAAAAATTATACCTAAGTACTTACAAGTGTCATGTTTTGCAGTTTTTCCCACTTTCAGTTCTTTAATTAAAAGTTACTTTAACCACAGCATGTGTGGTAGAGATGACTGCAAACCAACAGAACTAAAAATAATCTGACCAACCCCAATAACCATGTATGCTGGGACATGAAAGATACAGGAAAAGAGAACGTAGATGAAAAGGTGTACATGTATTCACAAGAAGTACTCCAGCTCATAGCGGACGTAAGGGTTCTTCTCATCATTGTAGATAAGGGGATAATGTGCAATCAATGCGTCCTGGGAGCCAATATAAATGGAATTATAAATCTTCCAGTACACATCACGTACTTTACGCGCCGGATGGAACAAACCCTAAAGGTGGAAAACATTGGAAAGAGTTATATTCAGAACATCTTAGGCTCCTTGATTCAAGGTCAATTTTAACAAGCAAGTTTTATTCTTTTCATTTTCAAATTCACTCACCTGCAAGCAGTACTGCAGCATACGGCATGGTCCAAGAGCAACGCGAAGGCCCTCAAGGGCTCCCATCACAGCTTGAATAACATGCGGCGACGTCTCAAAGACATTAGGCCAAACGTAGTTGAGTAAGTGGTTCAGGGAGTCCTCGCAGCCAAATCCATACACACCCAGGGACATGTGTTGCACTACAGCGCTGGCTGTCTGCCTATGTACAAGATCTCTGTAAACGAAGAAGACATGACAAAGTGTATCAAAATGGAGTACAATCAGAATAATTGCGTTATTGTAGTGATCCAAGTGTCTACGTTAGCCTGGGATGGCCAGCTTCAGTCCTGGATGGGCTTAGACTCGGGCAATTTATTGATGGTCCCCATTCACACATAGCCAATTAAACTCTGCAACTAACTGACAGGTTTTGTAGGCCTGTTTGGGCGGAAACATGTACAGGGGTATAATAATAATAATAATAATAATAATAATAAGTAACAACAAGTTGTGGACTTTGAGGGCATCTTCACACTTGGCAGGTGTTGATTATTTTAAAACAAATCCTGGTGTTATTGCTCTGTGTGTTTTGCTAGAATAAGTGAGAATGCTGCAATCTGAACTCTGGTGCAGACCACATAAGCGAACTGAGATCCCCGATCAGGTCTGGCTCAGTCTGCTTCCAAACTAACTCTGTTGCAGTACCATCGAAAAACAAACCAAAGATGTTTATACTAGTGCTGGGCGAAATGTTTTACCTTGATTACAATTAATGAACGATTTTTTTTTTTGTTTTGTTTGTTTTTTTTTGCACTCATAGTTCCCTTAAAAGGTTTGTACTTTAGATATGCTCTGCATATCTTAATGCAAATCGTCTCAACAGCCAGGTCGGAATTCACGCGGCTTTTACGTCAATCCAACACGACATTCTTCATAATTTCGCGCTGCTGAGACCTTATAAAAATTTGGGGTGATATTTCTGTACAAAAATTAGAAGAGACTTATCCAAAACACCACTGTGTTTGAAGAGCTTTTGAAAGAAATGGCTGAACGCAGCCGTAGGAGAGCAACGCTGCTGCATCAAAGAACACTTAAAAGGCTGAAAGTAAAGTTTAAAGAATCCGAGAACATGGACCAAAGAACTGACCGTGCCCTTTTTTACGGTGAGCTCGAACACATTCTGGGTGATGAGCCCAGCTTTCAGTCAGTGAAGCTTCATGATCAGTCCTGTGACGCTGGTGAAGATGAAACTGAAACCTTTGGGAGCAACTGGTGTTTGTTCATAGTCAGGATTGTTTACCTCCGGATGAGCCACGTGAAGCAACTTGATGCGTTGCTCTTTTGCACATGAGGGTCAGTTTAGGAGCTGATCTGTTCAGACTAATATTGCATACAGTTCATATTTAAAAGATATTGTGAACAGGAAAAAAAAAAAAAAAGAAAAAAGTGAGAAAATCAGATTTGGGCCACTTTTACCTGCTGTGAACATAGCCTTAGCTTCCATGTCGCAGAGTGGACGTGGTGGAGTCACGTGACTATACGCACTGTAGTAAGTTTTTAAGGGGACAGTACATGAACAGAGTGGGGAAAAGATTAACAGAACCAACATGGGCAAGATTACACCGGTTAGAGGTTCTGAATGTCAGTTTCGCTTACTTTTTGATTAATTGCCCAGCCCTAGTTTATACACAACACAGAATGAACTGATGTCTCCTCTCTACACATTTGCTTTGGTATGTACAACAGATGAACCCATGATGCTATTTTAACATGTGGATGCGTGGAAGCTCTTCATGAGCTCAGAATCAGCGATTATAGAATGGATAGTTTGTTTTAAAACTAGGACGAAGTGCATTCATTCATGTAGCATATGAGAGCACCGATCAATTATGTTATATTTTTCTGTTTTAAAACACTCATGGCCACGTGTTCTCACATTGACTTTACTCTGCATGACAACATGGGAAACCCACAGTAACGTGGTCTCTTACAGCTTAATACTACAGAATATTGTGGCTTACTCTACCCAATTAGTTGGGAATTTTCTGTCCATATGACTTTTGTATGAATATTTTGGACAAATATCAGTGTGAACATTATAAATCATTAAAATTAAAATTAACAATGCATTATTTCCTGCTTTAGTCCGAACCCAGGAAACCAAACTTCAAATATAAACGCACCCTAAGCCTCCAAACCTTGCTGGAAAAGCTTTACTTGTTGCTCAGCTCACCTGTCCATCAGAGCATCCTCCAATAATGGTGTGACAGCATAGATGTAGTCCTTTCCCATTTCACCAATATATTCAAATAAGAAGGAGAGCGACTTGAGCACACCATTCTGAACGTTGAGCTCTGGTACACGGTATTCATTCATCAGTGCTGGGAGTACAGTGAATGGTGAACACGTCTCTGCCACGATGGCTATGGCTACTGTTGTACACACACGGTTCTGACGCTCTTGCACTTTCAAGTTGTTGAGTAGAGTAGCAAGCACATCGTGAGGCCTACACAAATCAAAAGGAAAATAGTTAGCTTGCTTTACCAACAAAGACTGCGTAAATATGCAAAGCAATAAAAAGGCAGTTGTTTTTACCCGATTGCCTTAGCAATATAACCAAAGGTGTTGACGGTGGCTCTCCGAATTGCTTTCTTATGAGCTTTTAGCAACTCCAGCAGCTCAAAACAGATTCGCATCCACTCTCTGGCAGACACATACTCTGCACCCCTACAAAAGAAAAGAAGCTTTAATGAGTCTCAGCCTTCAAAACGACAGCTGAAAGTCACTGAGAAAAAAATTATACACGGTTTAACCCTGACCTGTCAGCAATTCTGCCCACAAGATCAATACAGTTCTCCTGCACCTTCTCGTGTCTGTTCTTCAGAATTGGTGTTAATCGAGGAAGCAAATCTTTGATGGGCGGTGTCATTTTGTGCATACCTAAGAGAAAGAGAAATCATTGCATTAGATGCTGAAAGTTTATTAATATAAATTCAAGCAAGTGCAGCTTAATTTCTCAAAATAAGCCAACGGCCTCTCTTGCAATGTTTCACCGGAACTGATTATTATACTAGAAAACAACTACATACCAATCACGTTAACAATAGCTTTAAGGGCTCCAAGGATGCTTCCAAGCACTTCGGGATACTCTTCTCCCAAATACTCGTACAGTACTACACCCAGATGACCCATCAGTTTTTCCTGTTAACAAAAGATAAAGAGCAACATAATTAGATAACATAGAAAACAGGACCGTTTCAATTTTGAGGAACCATAACATTTATTTTAACTGTTCTTCCCTCACCTCTTGACAAGTCTTCATGACCACAGCTGTGCGCGAGATGAGGTCGGCAGCTTGCTGACGGACTTTCGCAGATTTATTATTGAGACGCCACAGAACAGTACCGCAAATCTGAGGCAGGTAAGGCTTGACTCGCTTGCCCAGAGCATTCACCACTGTGCCAAAACCATTCAGCATCACAGAGTCCTAATTAATTGAAACATAAAATCAAAAAAGGTATCAGCCATTTCCAAAGGGCACAACACTGCAAATATCAAGCCATTTTTCCAGTAACTCACCTCAGTAGTCTGTTCTTGGAAGGCATACAAGATACCATCAATAAGCTGCTCTTCTAGTTTGTGGTCAATGTCTGCTGCACCCAGGTTCCCCATGATTTTCTCAATTGTCTCCATCACCATCTTTCTGTACTGCTCAGCTTCATCCTTCAAGTCGTCCACGATGCGCGAAATGATTTCTGCGGCCCCAACTTTGTTGGCCAGTTCTACTGTAGTGTCCACCAACTTGAACAAGCAAATATTCAAGTAAGCAAACATGAAATACATAGTTGGAGTATTACAGTAAAAACTCTCAAGTAACCTCTTTTAAAAACAATATGTTCAGTACCTGTCTGTAGTTGCGCCTGTCCAAGGCCATACGGTGCTGCCAGAAGTGCTTGAAGAAAGGAGGCAGGATCTCAGTTTTGATGTAGTTGGCCTCCACACCATCTGTGCCACAGCACTGTTTCACCACCTGAAAGAGAACGGAGTGAATTTAGTTACACAGGGATACTTTATAGAGGATTCTTTACTATTTTTATCTGTAAGGCTGGTGCACTGTTGTTCCATGTTAAATGTAACACGAGAAGAAATGAGAAAGCTGATTGGAAGGGAAAACAAAAAACACACCACAACATGGTTATTTTGGTCAATGCAGACATGTTTTTATGTTTTTTTAGGATCAGTACTGGGCCTATCAGTTTCCTGTGGTTAGCATAACCCTATCCTTAGGGCCTGTTAACATTGTGCATTAACATGCATTTTCAGTGATCATGTTCATGTTCAACTGACCGCATGAAAGTCACGTTCGAAGTTAGTCAGACAGATCCAGACCACATTCACAAGTGTAAACAGAATGAGTTTGTCATTCATATAGAATTATGTGAGCAGAAATGCTGACTAGCAGGGGAGAGAAAAAAAAACAAGAAACAAAAAAGAAAACAATTTATGAATATATATATATATATATATATATATACATACACACACACACACATACACACACACACACACACACACAAAAAGGCTATGTGAGGCTAGTTTCCTAAACCAAGAAACTTCCTGCACTTGGGGCCCAATGCAAGCGTCCAACCTGATTTCATATGAAGTGGGAAAAGTACACAAAAGTTTAAAAGGGGTGCTTTTTATGCGAGAAAGTTAAATGGAATCCTTCCAAAGCTTATCCTTATATAACCCATACACAAAACACACGTTGATGCAAGAATCTTTGAGATTTATCTTCTTGTAGAGGTCAGTTCGAAGGCAAACTAAACACATCTGATTCAGTTAAATCAGTCTTCATTCCGTTATTACCTTCAGCACAATCTTCTTCATTTCTTCATCTGGAGACTGAAACTCTCTGATAAGGATAAGCATCACTTCTCTTGTGTAGTAGTTGGCATACTCAGCATCCATAAGTGGAATCAAGTAACCAATAGCTTTTAAGAAGGCAGCCAGACCCTAAAGACCAAAGCAAATAAGTACATATTAACCTGTAGTTCATAGCTTATCAATGATATGAAATTAGGGAGTAAGAGAAATATAAAAATGTTACACTGGCAAGTAACATTGTTACAATGGCATTTTCCACCATGTGGAAATAAAAAGTAATGCTCACTTTGCCTCTGTGTTGTCGGATACCCTTCCAAAGGGGCTTCAGCACGGAGTCAAAAGACTCAATACCATAGGGTGTGGCAGCCTCAGCAAGAGCAGCAATAGCCAAAGCACTGATGGTTCGCACTTTCTGCTGCTCATCCACAAGACCTGGAAGGAGACATACAGGCATTATGAAAATACTGCCAGCTTCATACTAAAAGGGTCAGTAGTAATAAACAAACCCATTCATTTCTGGTGGATCAGCCAAAACCAAAAAACAGCTTTCTATAATTATGCACAGATTCAGGTTATATTCAGAAATTCCATTCTTACCATGTTCAATGATCTCCACCAAGCTGCGGAGATGGGGCAGGATGGCACAGCCCATGAGGATGGCAATCTGCTGCACGATCTTGATGCCTGTGTGTCGAGCCTGCCAGGACTTCTTGCTTTTGCACACAGCCTTGAGGAAAGGCAGAAGGGATGGAATGCCCAAGGCAGACGCAACAACGGCAAAGGCACGAGCAGTTGTGTTTCTCACATACTCGTCCATGTTGTCAATATCAGGTCTCATTGTGGAGATCATAGTGGCCAGACCAGCAGCCTGTGTAAACAAATAATGATTCTGTGAACGGAGCAGCAAACGGAGAAGGAAACATTTATGACTACTAATGACACATCCATCAGAATGTGAAGCACTGGGTTGTCCCTGACCTTTGCCAAATTGGAGATGATCTCTCTGCCCTCCACTCTAGCATAGTAATCCTCATCAATCAGCAAGGGCTCAATCACCACAAGGATCTGTCAGAAATAATACAGTTAAGCATTAGACTGATATTGCTGATACATGTGTTAGGCTGTGTGCAGTTAGTATTTGTCAACAGACGCTTGTACCTTGTGGACATACGGACGAACCAAGTCATCCAGCTTGTATAGGATGCGGTCAATAACTTTCACCAACAGATGGCGCTCTTGATCCTCTAGTGTCGGAGACATGAGCAGAGGCAGAATCTGATTGAAGAGGGGTCCAGCACCAAATTCCCTGGCTTTGTCTGTGATCTGTCTGAGGGCGGCCTGACAGAACAGAACAGACAGTTAGAAATGCTCATGATCAGTGGAGTTCATAGGCAGAGGAATACAATTAGGCAAAAGTAAGGCATTATACCTTCCTCATTGGAGGGGTACCATTTTTAATCTTCAGGAGCAGCTTCATAATCTTGCGCTCTTTTTGCTCCTCTGGGCTCAGAGTAGATTCATCCACCTCCACCTGAAGAACACAACATATTTAGGAGTGGTCGATATCAGCGGCCAACACAATTGGGAAAGTTTAATTATTACATGACTAATTCTGGAGTTGCAATCAATAATTTATCACCCAATTATTAGACACATCCCTCTGGCTGGGCAGCTCCATTTTTTGTAGCTCTAACAAACAGACAGCATGGACAACGCCACCATACCACAGACAAAAGACTGGAGGTTTGATTCCCCATACAGACAGAAACACTACTGCTATAATAGTGATTTCTTGGCCTAGACTCCAAATATTACATTCAACTACCTTTGCTAGTAACTATGGACATCTACCGAATTATTTATTTTTTTTTTATATATATATATATATATATATATTATTTTTTTTTACATAAAATCTCATCTGATTTAGCCTTGTCATGGTTATGTTCATTTTTACACTTTTAGTTTGTTAATTTCTTAACAAATTAATTTTTTCACTTCTCTTATGCTCACTCCACTTTAAATACCGATTGTAGTATGAACTAGTTATTATAAGTCTTGTTATTGTTATCGGCCCAAGCAATGTATCAATTTGAACATACTGAGCCTGTAATTCTTTAGCAAGTACTCCAACAGGAACACTGCCTTGCAGAAAATGTACAGTGAATAGCCAAGCGGGACTCACCAGAAGTTTGTCAAAGTACTGGATGTCGTCTGGTTTGAGGAAAGGCAGGTTGCCGGACGGTTGATCGTTCATCTGTTTCATAGATCTGTCTTCAGTCTGCATATGGAAGCCAGTCATGCCGCCAATTGGAGTAGGCGTGGCAGTTAACTTACGGGCAGGGGTGCGGATAGGCACATAGCCTGCTGGTGGGGGCAACACCTGGTGAAAAAAGTAACAATCGGTTAGTGAACTTAAGTACCAGCCCTGCCTACACTGGCAAAACACCTGTTGTATAAATGGTACTGTTATGTACCTTGTATCCCTCAGGGAACATAGCATCAAGCTCCTCATCAGTCAGTGGACGGTTCCGCTCATCAATCTCCCTCTCCCAACGCCATGCCTGAAGCTGCTCAGGGGTCATACTCATCAGATGACCTGAAAAAAATTAAGCCATTACATGAATAATTTGCACATATACACAAAAAAACCCCTCTAAAACCATAAATTGTTTTAGAGCCCTACCTGGAGTTGGTGTGGCCATGTTCATAGCAGGTGTGCCAATAGGGGTCTTTCCAGGAGTGAGCAGAGGAGTAGAAGAACCCATCTGACTAGCAGGAGTCTCGTCCCAGCGGGACTTTCTTTTGCTCGCTCCAGGGGTCGGAGTTTCCCCTACAGACTCATCTCCCCTGTCTGTTCGAGGAGTTTCAGCCCAGCCACTGCCATGACCCGGCGTTTCTGAAAATGGGATAGACAACAATTCATATTTACTAAACTCCATAGAGTTTTTACACTTGCAAAACAAAGTGTTTTATCTGCAGGGCTTTTGACAACACCAATAGACCTAGAGGAGCTGTTTATATTTGCTTTCAGAAAGTGTTTACTTAAGGCATGTAAAACATGACACGTGAACGGAAAACAGCACAGACCTCTCTCTGTCTTTGGTGTCTCATCCCAGCGATTCTTGCGCACGCTGGAAGTGGCCCCTCCATGGCCAGGTGTGGCATGTCCAGGGGTGTCTCCCCGACCGGGTGTGGCAGCTCCAGCGGGCGTGTGGCTGGGGGTAGGGTCCCACATACGGGTGCTTGGAGTGGCTCCAGGCGTCTCGCTTCCTTTAGGTCGACCAGGCGTCTCGTCCCAGCGACTGTTGGAAGGTGTGTGCCCAGGCGTGTGTCCTGGTGTCTAATGAAGAATTGAAAAATAAGACACTTTTACTGATAAATGGTGCGGTCCACTCGTGAGGCAGCTGTCTAAGAAGGCAGCGTGCTAGGGAAGCATTTGCGGGCTCCTGAGACAAAGGATGTCCAATTTGGAAGGCAACATAGTGCCTGGTGTTTGAACAGAGCCAGCAGCCTGATCAGCGTTGCCTGATTGGGTAGAATTCCCAGTTTAGCCTTTTATTACAATTTGCTATAAAAATAAATTATTCAACATTGACATTTTCCATTTGAGCTATTTCAATTTAGTTAAAGTATGCAATTACAGTGTTAGTAATAACAATAATAATAATAATAATAATAATAATAATAATAACTAACAGTAATAACTTCTGTTTGTTGAAGCAAACCATATGTTATTCTAATAGATTATTTTAATCAAACTTTTGATACAACACTCAAATAATAGACTATGACAGTTGCAGTCCTGTTACAAATCAAAAGTAGTAGTACTGTGACAAAGAAAGAGGGAATGGAGAACATAGCTGATCATCTCTGCCATCTTAAGCCAAAATTCTAAGGTATTCTTACTTCTGCAGAAGCATCTGCTTGATCCCAGCTGGACACCTTTTTTGGTGTAGCACTTGGAGTTTGGTCAGCAGTCTGGTCCCAACGACGCTTGCGCTTTGTAGCGGCAGCTTGAGACGCAGCAGAGCCATTAACTGCTTTCAGGTCCCCTGATTTTGCCTTTTCTGCCATCTGCAGCCTGATTTCTCTCTGTATACATGAAATACAAAGAGTTGAGAAACACCAAGCACTTATAAAAAGACATTTAGGCTTGTGACTCCAACCTGAAACAGTGTAAGAAAATATTTTGTACCTCTTCTTTGCCTAGTTGCTGCTCCTTCATCACGTCCATATACGTCCTGACCTGCATCTTGGGATCTGGTGTTTTGCCCCCTGCGCGAAAGAGCACCAACAAGATGCGAAGCGGTTAGCCTGGTGAGAGCTACAACCAGCCCTGTCACTCACAGCAAATACTACATTCAACTGGCCCTCACTCTACTCCACAGATCTTGGCTTAACAAAGCTTTTACTTAAAATGTCCTCTCACATAACAGGATGCATCACAAAAACAACCTAATACTAGACACTCCTAACATTCATAGATTAAGAACAGGCAGGTACATAGAGGTTTCTGATTCTTTTAACAGATAAGGAGAGGATATAGCCATCATTTGTTGCAGGGTCCTGGGCTGTGCTCTCCAGAATACGTACACTTTCAGTGCCAAGGGTCCTTCTGCAGTCAGACTTCAACCGGCAGAAAAGAAGCCTAGAAAATTTCTCTTTACCATTAGTAACACTTTGGAAAAGGGTTTGAACTCACACACAACAGCATACCACCTGTGATTCTCACGTCACTCAAAAATAAAACCTCACAGTATATATTCAGATTTACTCAGGATTACAGTATATTATTTATGATGTGAAAGTCTAGATCGATGTGTCGCAGACAAAGACGCTGTGACACTGTACCCTTGTGGGAATAATCCAATATTAATATGTAATGAAGCACTTCAGTGCAGGAAAATTTGGACAGCTTGAACTTCAAGAAAACTTAGTTAACCAAACTCTAAAAAACTACGGATGAACTGAGCAAAACAAATCAAAAATGGAAAAAAAAAAATAGGTGGAGGGATGAGGCTGAGAGGAAGTTCGTATGGCTTTTATATTAGAACTTAGGGTACAAGAGTTGCTGAGATCATGGTGCTGCCCCCTCCCCAAAATTAAATATCCCTAAATCTGGTAAACTCGCTTCTTTTTGTTCACCATAACCTACACAGGATGAGGTGCTGCACCCTTAAGAGAGTGCAGACAGGACTGGCATAGCAGTACTGCTGTAGGAGAGAAATTAAGGACAGTTAGTATGGGCCCGTGGAATCTTTGTACACAGATTCTTTAAGATATATCTCTATTTTAAGATAAAATAGAAATATATTTTACACAACACTTATATAGAGGATGTCCCTGTCTGGGATTAACTACATGCAAACTAATTTAGCCCTGCTGAATCTAATCCCTACATAAATCTCTGTGATGCAGGTTTGAAATGAATAAAACAAGTTGCCTTCTGCATGTAAACAGTTCTGCAATAGTGCACGAGTTAATCTCATACACTTTCAACATTGGTTCATGTATTAGAACTGTGCTTTAAACCATTGGAGATTCTATTAAAGTCCACCTCATCCATTAACAGTGTGGAAGGGCAAAATTAATAAATCAACTTAAAGCTTTGCTACTATACTAAACTGGAATCCACTCTGCGAGAGGACTTAACCATTCAAAGAAGTGATTGAATACTGAATATGTACTTGAGTGAACAATTCTAATACTGATCCAGGCTGGGAGCCTGGTAGAAACACTCAGCGATTTGCTCAACTCTAGCAACTGTGCAAATTGCAAAAAGAGACATTATTCAACACTACTGCCACAGCACTGAACTGCTTCCCAGAAATATGAGCAGTAGCATTTCTGAAGCGTGTCTTCAGCAGAGCATTTAAGCTTTCCTATATGCATGACACGCTAACTGAGAGCAAACACTACAGCTATGCTCTAAATAATGCATATCTTTTAGTTAGAAATAATTCTACAAAAATTTAAACAACAAAGTCTTCTGTGGTGTACAGTTACTTTAGAGCTCTAATGTATTGTCTTCCTGGCTTATATTTGTTTTATCCCAGAAACACTGATTTATTAACCCTTCGAAACACAAACACACACCTACCTGCAACCCACGTCTTGTTGGGTATAATCACTTTAACACCACCCAACTAACAGTTCCCATAAACAGACAGCATCTCTTATCTAGTAGATCTTAAACATTCTCTGAAATTAGAACTTAGAACCAATCAGGCTTGTGACATCTGTTTGTAACCCTTGAAAATGTTCAGCTAAACAAGACAGAGATACAAGGGAAAGTTCAAGTCTGGGGAGCAAGTTGTTGGGTAGTGTTTGAAGGGTTAACCACAAAAAAGCAGTTGATTTTGACCAGAATAACATATATACACACACTCTGCACTGATCAGCATAGACAAGGACGGGACTATGAACGGGAATGACTGTGTGCCATTTACCATCTGCAAAAGGGTCGTGACGCTCAGGGGAGATGATCATCTTTTGTCTGCGTTTCTTGTACTCATCTTCACGGTCTGAAATCTTCTGCGGTTTGTGCTCAGCAAAAGGATCATACTGCAAAAGAGGAGAAAATGTCTATATACACACTGTAGCACAGACATAGTGTCACTTTGCAACAAAGCACAATAACAGAGGTTAGAGATTCTGTGAACCATGCGTATAACAGATAATTGCATCAATTTACCTGCTCATCAGACTGAGGAATGGCATTGAGTATTGCCACCGGAGCATGGTACCCTGGTTTCTTCTGCCCGAGCAAACTTGTGGACGAGTCATCTTCATCATCCTACAGAAAGAAAGAGAGAGAGAGAGAGAGAGAGAGAGAGAGAGAGAGAGAGAGAGAGAGAGAGAGAGAGAGACTGGTTAAGCCTGACAGTGCTTAACAGTGATTACAACAGATTACACCATGGAAATAAGTCAATAGAACGACCAATAAAACTTACATCCTCCTGTTCATTGGCAGCAATTGAGGTGACATATCCAGCAAATCGGCTATCACTGCCTCCATAAATCTCCTGGTCGTAGTATCCAGTGGAATCAAGGCCGACACCCTGCTCTCCCTCCTCCCGCAGGGCTGTCTTCATTCCCTGGATTTCCAGGATCTGCGCCTCAATGTCTAAAAACAGAAGAAATGAAAACACAGTGAGTTTAAAACACAACAACAAGGATCTTAACAGTCTGTCTTACCCATCAAACGGTCCTACTGCACATGCACGGACCATTAGTATAGTAACTACACTATAGTATTTTTCTAACCTTTTGTATTTTAATGTTAATCCAGCCTTACTTAAGTGTATCATACAGACTCAGTTTAAGGTTTCTCAATGTTACTTTTTACCTTCTGATAGCCTAAATCAATTTATCCAAATAACCTGCCTATAGTTCCACTGATTTTTCAAAACTTCCGCCTGAAAAACTGTTAAGATATGAACAAAATCAATCATGCAGAGCATTGTGATGCAAAATTTAACTCAAAGAAAATGTATTATATTGGATTTACTACTAAATTTTACTACTCTTAAAATGACACAAATAAGAAGGCAGGCCATTAGATATCAAAACACCTGGATTACATCGCAATGACAGTTTTCCGGTGAAATTTCGAAAAAAAATAATGTAATTCCCCTTTAATGCTTGTGGCATTTCCTATAGCGGATATGTATCCTATCTGTAGTTGTGATACTTCGTCTGAACACAGGTTCAGATTTTCCGAGCTAGACATTTAAATAGTCTAATTTCACATACATAACCTATATACACACACACACACACACACACACGCGCCGTTCTTGTTTTGTTAGCATTAGCTAGCTAGCTAACTTAGCTAGCTATGACAACAGACTAGTTAAATAGCTATGTTAGCTGGCTGCAATGTTGCGAATTGTGTGGCAAGCTATTTTGTGTGGTGTGGAGCAAAGTGAACACACAAAAATAGATATTCAAAAGCACAACTGAAACGCTATTTTGTTGCGGTGCAACCAGCCAGCAGAGCGTGCCGTCTGCGTGTACACTAACGCCATTTTGAGGACTCTTTGGCCGGAGCTAACATTAGCAGGCCGGAGACAGCGCTGCAGTTCGCGTGGAAATTTGCAAACCAATACAAAACAACATTTACAGTTAACATTTTTTTTCTGAGATGGCGGATTCAGTGTATTTGAAATGTGTAATAAGGCTGAAGCCTTTTCACAAAGCGCAGTGAGCTTTAATATAGCGATCAGGCGCCATGTTCTCTTCAGCGCCTTCTTTACATAACAGCCATTTAGCTTCACGCTGTTTGCAGTAACTAACCAAATCCAAAAGGCGACCTGCTAGGGAATGCGTATAGGCACTAGATAAACTCAGCTGCAATGAACATTTGGTTTTTTTTTTTAAAAAAAATGTGCTTACCTTCATGTGTTTTGGCGATCTTCGCCATCTCTACGTCTGTGTGGACAGTCCCGGAAGGCCTCACTGCGCAGACTTACCGCAGCAGCGCATGCGCAGTGTACGACTGGGCGTAGACAATTGGTAAACACAAAAAATAGTACATGGAGGGCAAAAATGAGTATAATTTCACTTTCAGAGTGCCGCCGGGACCGCAATGTAAATTTAATTTTATAATTTAAAAAGGGGAAGGACAACCTCCCCTACTTAAGCTGTATTGTTATTCCAGAAAACAAAGAACATACTCCTACTGTAACTAAAAAAGCAGTTATGTCGTGTTAAAGGGAAACGCCAGCGATTTGTCAAAGTTGTGAACAAAGTCATTCAGTTCAGATGTAAACAAAATCATTCCTAGTGGTTTGATATGAAATGATTTATTTTACAGAAACCTTTTTACTCTTTTTCTTTGCAGAGTTGGTGATAGGAACCAGGGTCTCGCGATGTCAACAACGCAAATACAGACATTTTATTTATTATTCAAAACAATCAGTGATCCTACATCTGTCATTCGTCAGTTTTCATATGTAATGTTGATAATGTTCAAATCTTAAAAAAATTCTTTGGGTATATTCCCAGTGTCCTGCATATACACACCATGAACTGATTTTTTAAAAATACGTTTAGGCCAAACCTGATCTCAAAATTATCTTAAAATAATGTCTCAGGCATCAGGAAATATTCGTAACTATTAAAATGAATTACTTTCATTAAAATAAATAACTTTCTGAGACGCAGTAGAGGCATGAAACACTTCAGACGTCTGGTTCCTATCAACACTACTGTGGAAAAAACCTCTACAATGAACCTTTTCACGTCGAACCACTCTGCATGACTTTGTTTACATCTTAATGTAATGATTTAATTATGCGAAAATCTATTGAATTCCCCTTCAGATGTGTAACATTTTTGTGACCACTGACCAGCATACAAATACTTCATTCTTCCAAATTAATAAATAAAAAGCTGGGGAAAGGGTGATTCTGGACCTGCAGTTCTTAGATAGGTGACCACCTGTTAGCGACTTAGCAAAACTCCATGGAGTTCCTTTCACAACGTATGAGGACTCTAGGAGGTTGTGACTACAAACTGACAACTGACAAAGTTGTCAGATAACGTTGTCACAACTTTCTGAGGAATTACAACGCTGTGGGCACCAAAACAGTAGGTTGTCACAACGTAACTGTGTTTGCAGGGGTGATGATGTTTTGTCCGGTAGTCGCCGGGTGTCCTCCGAAATCTAACAGGACAGAGTACTGCACTAAAACTGGAAGATTTCATTACTAAAGTTACAATAAAAATAAAATCCTCCTGTGGTTTTAAAGATACTCAACAATTATGGGCAAAACCTCAAGTACATTACGGTATAGAAGCGGTCTGTCAGTCCGAATGAGCAAAGTCTGAAAATGATTTCAAATACATGGGATTTTAATCACAACAGTAGATGTATTACATTGCAAGTTCTCTTCGTGTACGTTTTCAAACATTTTTGTTCTTTATTATTTAAAATTATAAGAGCTTTTTTACAATGTGCCCTGAACAAATTTAGCTTTAACCTTTTCTAGCTATGCACTGTGAGGCTCGCCCAGTCTGGGCAACTCAATCCCGCATCCCGTGACACTTCTGCGCACGCAACTGTTCCACACGATAATGAACCTACGTCAGGAACCACGGTGACTGACAGGCATTTCGACCAATGAACAACAAACACAGAACGGCTATTGTCCAATAGCGTCATCTGAATCGTAGGGGCGCATACCGAGAGGGCGGGGCTTCGGGACTGGTCAAGTAGTTAGAGACGGGGAAGGTGAAAAAGGAGTGAAGTGAAGATGGCGAGAGGGTCCCGGTGTTTGCGGAGAGCGGTAGCAGAATGTATTAAGCAGTTACCGTCCACAGCAGCTCGAGAAACACCGGGAAAGAATGGAGTGAGGTAAAATAAAAGTTCATCGGTCCTAAACTATTAGTTCCTGCTCTTCGTCGTAGCTAGTACTGGGCGGCTGTAACTCGTCAAGTACAACAGCTTCAGGCTATGTTAGCTAGGTTAACTTAGTTTCGCTATGGAGCTGTGATATTTTAGCGCATAGTTACAGATGGCAGATAGCCAGCTAAAGTTAGCAGGGTGACTTTGCTGACTTGGTGCTCTGTTTCGTAAACTGGATAACGAGCTAATTAACGTTACACAATAAGCTTCCAAGTAAGTCTTTAACCTGCTTTCCCTTAGTGCTGATTCTGAAGCTAACTGTTAGCTAACGATGGCTAACGCTGGTAATCGACCAGCTGTTAATCTACTGCAGACCGGTGTCAGATCTATGTTACCTAACAGGTCACCATGTAAAAGATAGCTCCGGGGGTCAGTGTTAAATTACATGTTAGACAAATATTTGTTCTTTGGTTTGTCAGTGGCATGGAAAATAAAGGTTGTTTGAAGCAGTTTGTCCCTTGGCTGTTCTGTGCAAACATCTGGTGTTGACCAACGTAGCGTTAGCTAACTAACATTATCCTGCCAGCTGGGTAGCTATTCCAACGCTGAAGTTTTATCTATCTATCTATCTATCTATGTATCTATCTATCTGTCTACCTACCTATCTATCTACATATCTGCTTATTTATCTGCTTGAGTAGGTCAGTATAGATTGTGTGCAGTGTGGCATTGTTTTAAAGACTTTGACTTTAACCCTTCTCCCAGTTGCTGTCTGTCTGACTTTGACTGTTTAGTCGTGAAGTCTGTGGTGTTTGCGCTATTTGTGCGCTCGTTCTTGATGGCATCTAAGGCTCACGGTGAAACTGAAACTTGTGACGTAATATACCCAACTGTGACGTAAACTCCAGTGATACCCGAGAGCAGAGTCTGTGTGTGAGATCTGCTGCCCTTCCTGACCCAGCTACAGGGACATAGTGTACCCATGGAAAACTATTGCTGGGTGTAAGACCTGTACGGGGAACTGGGCTACTGGCCAAAGCCATACTACAGTCTCTGGTAGTGACTCCTTCGTCATACTTGGCTGTCAGGGTCACCCTTCCTCCAGGTTTATGCAATATTATCATTGTTGTCACAAGGGTTCACAGTTGTTTAAGTTGTAACGTTAATGTCTGCCAGAGGTCAAAATTGGCAGTGGTCGAAATAAGCAAGGCCGTCTCCAACGTACTTTTGTACTCGAGGCAAATGTTTTGAAACAGTTTGAAATGTACACTCTCTGCGTCATTACCTACAGAGTTCAGTTGTCACCAATCAGAATTACTCTGCTGCTTCTGGTTACAATAATACTGAGTACGTGTCTTATTCTTTTGTATAACTGGCAAATAGTTGTTGAAACCAGCTCTGTAAATATGCGTTACTTGAAATATATCAGTAAAGAATTAAAGCTTAGTAGACTTGATTATTTTTGCACCTCTGTAAATTACCACACAGCTAATTTATGAAGGGGCCATCACATTTGCTCAGAAAAATATGTAATGTCCCAGCATGCACTTTCGAGCTGGCTGTTTGTACCACATAAATAAACATTCCTGATACCATTAGCCTGTGTGACATGGGGTCATGTGCAACCAGATAGGTTCTTTCAGTTTGCTAGAATTGTTTAGACAATTTGGTGTTCGCACCCCTTGGTGTCAATACACATCGTATATTGATGTGATGATGCCTGACTGATATCTTTTAACACCTTCTGTTTCAAGTGTAACTATCTGCTGGTCATTTGTATGTTGTAGAGGTATATTTGGCATATATAGTGCAGGTCTTTAAACCTAAACCTAATTATATTGCTTAACACTGGAAATGAGCAGCACAGCTCACTGTGAATGGGTCTTTGGCCCTTTTAAGCATTTGGAGCCATCTATATCACACATTATAGTATAGGAATAAGTGCAGTGTTTCAGTCACTGGTGTGGTTGTTAAAATACATCAGTTAAAATACATCAGTATTCATTTTTTTTATTCTTCTCAGGGCAGCTAGATGAACAGGTTTTACACTATGAAAATGACAAGTCATCCTTACTGACATATTTTGGAATGGTTTCTGCTTTGTGATATTCCTGTCAGTCAACCATGAAAGGGGAAAAAACCTCCCCTGTGCTACAACCAGAGTGATTTACACTTTGTGTATGAAAAATTGTCTTCTTAGAAAATTACTTTTTACGTTTTAGTGTCTTTTGACAGTTGGACCTTGACTGTCATGGTGCAAAAACAACAATACATAATAGCTGTTATCACAGTTGTGTGCAGTCAAATCTAATCGATCAAACTCACGTCTGGAGTGTGTAAATTTGAGCATAATACTTTAACAACTTGTCAAAAAATGCTTGATTTGCGCTTAAACAACCAAAACTATTATCAGTACCATCTAATACCAATCATAAGAATAAAAATAAAATAAAATAACAGTTATACTAATAATTTGGCCATGTGGCAATCTAGTACAAAGTGGATGTGCATATTTAAATGCACACTGTTTATAAATAAATGCTGCAATTATTCAATGTTCCATTTAAATATATTACTGTGCTTTTGTTTTATACTGACACAGCCCAAAAATATACAATACAAAACACAGCCAGTGCAGGAGCATCTCATACACAGCAGTAATACAGATTAAATATGTATTTTAGGAAAATAATCACGTCATGCTAATGTCTATTATTAAAATAAAATAAAAATATTAAAACCAAATTAAAATATTTTGTTTATTTCACATTTTATATGTTCCAGTCGTCATCATTTTAATGCTATAAAGTTTGTTCAGAAACTCGGGGCCCACTGCTAAACCTCATGAGCCACTGACTGAATGTTGCCATTTTATTGGCTCCCTACCGAAACATCTGAATGAATTAGGGTGTGCTTCGTGTAAATGGTATGTAAATGAGGAACTAGTAGGCTGTCGCTTGATTTCATGCACTGAAACTGAATAATTTGCACTCAAAGCTTGTTTACACATCGTACAAAAGTTTCATGAATCAGATGCAGAGTAGTTCATATGTCGTTAAAGGTGGTCAAATCTGCATTGTTTTTATGCAGCTTTAATGAATAAGGGCCATTGTTTTGTCAGATTTGTGTGTCATAGCACCCCTGTGTGACTGGATGTTTGGCTACTTCCAACAAAGCAGGAGCATACATGATCAGTTGTTTGAAGACTGAGACTGACTGATTTAAACAAGTGGAATCAGGTGTGCTCCAGTTTTGTTGGGATGAAAGCCTGCAGCCAAATCCACATACTATCACACTAAATAGTGTGTTAAAACTAGTACACCGCCATTAGAAGTCCATATATTAGTTTAGCATGTTTAGTATAATAGTATGTGGCTTTGGATTCAACCCTGCTCTTTGTTCTGATCTCATGTCCACAGCTGTGTGAACAGGAGCAAACTGGTAATGAGCGATTTACCTAAAAATTTAAAAATGTAACATGAAAATGCTCAGTGGCGTAGTCCATGTTAACAGAAGACTTGTGTTTTTCATGGGGATTCATAACATGTTGGCAGTAGATATGTTAAAAAAAATTTTAATCAATATGAATTGTTTTGATTTATATTTTAAATGTTCAATAAACCAACCAAGCATTAATTTTTCTTATAAATTGGCATCCTTGATCAGTACTTAAAGCTTTGTTTATAAGGTTTTTTGTTATGTAGGCCTATAGCCTTAGCAGATAGAGGATTAAAGAAAAAAAGCACAGCAGACTACACGGCAGTATGTAGTACTGTATGTAGTATGTGGACACTTGAGTGTCACCTTCATATATACGGTTGTTGAATATTCCTCACTCATTCAGGAACCATAGGCATTGATGTGGAGTTTATTATTAGTTTTTGCATCCCTAGCTTTTATTATGTTGACTGTTCCTTTAGAGAATCATATCAGGTGACAGATAAGCCAGTTTTTTTCAGGTTTTTGTATAAGCAAAATGAGCATGTTAATGCTGCTAGCTAAACATTTAGATTAGATTAATTCTAACTTGACTTTATTGCATGTGGTATAAAATTCTTAGAGACATAAATCACTAGCTTTTAGACATGCGGCTTAGACTGGATACCTTCTATACAGTTTCATCTTTAAAGTAATAATTTTCCTTCTAGGTGGCTGTCTGCTAACTGATCGTTCCCTCTGCTCATTGTCAATAGATATTTGTCGTCATGTGGCATTCTGATGACCCGGATGCCACCTCTACTAAGGACCGTGTCTGGCCGTGCTGCAATCTCTCCAGCCAGAAGCTTCTTCAACCTCTCAGAGTCCTTCAATAAGAGGAAAGAATATTCTGAGAGGCGCATCATCGGGTAAGGTGCAGCCTGTGTGGCAGCTATTGCATGAGAGATTTCTATTTTTATCCAAGTCAATAATTAGTTTATGTGCTACTGTATTATAGGTAATAGAACAGGGCAGGAAATACTTATGTGCAGATGGCCTTCTATGTTTCAGCAGTTATTTTGCTAAGTTAGGGGTTGCCAACTTGGGTCTCAGTTCAAAAGGACTTACCCACAATTTCATTGCATCAGTGAGCTTTCGTTGAAGCTCAAGACCAAAATGTGTGCACGCTGGAATCTATATCCCATTTCCAAGTGTCACATTACACATTTCTTTGGCACCATAGTTTACACACAAACAGCTGGGAACTTGAGCTATTACTGTGAAGCTTCAGATCTTCTTGCTTAATGCATGTTGAGGAAATGGCAGTAAAATGATATTTTAAAGCAGCTTTTAAAAGTGCCAACTTGGCACCAGGGCAGTTTCTGTAACCTTCACTCAACTGAACTTGCACTGCTATTGCTGTTTAATATTGTGAAAACAGTTGTATGCATAATTTGCTTAATGACTACTATGAAGAAATAATGCTGAAGGCTTCTTTTAAAGTTCTTGTAGTTCAGTGATTCTTAGTCATACGGTATTCCCTGTATTGTCAGTCAGTGACCTAGTTCATACGAGACATTAATACACACCAATGTGTGCCAGATTGTTGGCAGACAGTGTCTGAGCTTTACGTAACTCTTTTACAGCCTTTTCAGGTTCTGAGGTGAGGGGTTGTGCTCTCAACCTCATGATCCCTTTTTTCCATTGATAGTTTCTATTTCCTGACATGCCAACTCTGACATTTCTCACATGGTTTCCATTTTTAGTTATGCAAGTTTGTAATATTTGTCCCACTTGTGTCCCATTGTGGCAATCATTCATACTGCTCTCCCTCTCTCTGTCTTTAGGTATTCCATGCAGGAGATGTATGAAGTGGTGGCAAAGGTAGAGGACTATCTTCAGTTTGTGCCCTGGTGCAAACGCTCAGATGTGATCTTCCGGAGGTCTGGCTTCTGTAAGGCCAAGCTAACTGTGGGCTTTCCTCCTGTGGTGGAGAACTACACATCCCTTGTTACTACAGTGCGCCCTCATTTGGTCAAGGTGAGGCATTTAAGTGCACAGGGTTGTCACGACAAAAATATGGTACAAGTCACCCTTGCAGCTCCATATCTTTGACAATACTCCTGTTTTGTTCTGAAGGCTTCATGCTCAGATGGTAAACTTTTCAATCACCTGGAGACAGTCTGGCGTTTCAGTCCTGGCCTTCCTGGCTACCCTCGCACATGCACCCTGGACTTTGCTGTAAGTAACATAGACTCTTACGTTTATAGTGTGTGTAATTACACCGAGTAAAGTCTTGTACCATCTTAGAAACTTAAAAGGGTTTGCATGTATAATTAAAAGTATGAAAAATAATGGGGCTTTTACTTACAGGTTGTGTCCATGCAATCAGCATGATGTTTATATCTAACCACACTACCACATTTGGCATTATTTGTCAAACTGGCCTTAAATGATCAAAAATATATAGCTTTATATACAATATATGGACTATTGGGACAACCACATCTTACACTTACAGGAGCTTTTATGACATCCCTTTCTAAATACATAGGCATTAATATGGAGTTTGTCCCCCCTTTGCAGCTATATCAGCTTCCACTCCTCTGGGAAGGCTTTCTAAAAAGTTTTGGAGTGTGTCTGTTAGAATTTTTGCCCATTCATCTAGAAAAGGGGTAGTCGATGGGGTCAGGGCTTTGTGTGGACCAGTTTTTCCACTCCAAACTCACCCAAGCATGTCTTTATGGACCTTGCTTTGTGCACTGGGGCTCAGACATGCCGGAACAGAAAAGGGCCTTCCCCAAACTGTTCTCACAAAGTTGGAAGCATACAGTTGTCCAAAGTGTCTTGCTATGCTGAAGCATTAAGATTTCCCTAGGCCAGCCCCTGAAAAACGCCCCATAGCATTATCTCTCCTCCACCAAACTTTACAGTTGGCACAATGCAGTCAGGCAGATCACGTTCTCCTGGCATTTGCCAAACCCAGACTGGTCCATCAGACTGCCAGATGGAGTAGTCTGATCTGTCAATCCACAGAATATGTTTCCACGTTTGTTGCAATGGTGGCATCCTATTACAGTACCACACTCAAATTCAACAAGTTCTTTAGTACAAGCCATTCTTTCACAAATGTTTGTAAAGGCAGACTGCATAGCTGGGTGCTTTATTTTTCTACAGCTGTGGCAATGGGACTGAATGAAACACTTGAATTCAATGAGTAAGAGGCGTGTCCCAATACATATAGTGTATGTAAGTACCTATGGATGAGGAATAGGAGACTTTCATTATGTTTTTCTTGAAAAATAGTAAAGATTGTCCAACAGAAATGTCCCTCAGCTCCTCTCCTGTTGCAGTGATTCTCAAACCAGACCTCAGGCCTCCCTAAGCATTTCACATTTTTGCTCTTTCTGTATGTGTTGAGAGTTGGGATTGAACAAAAATGAAGACCATCTGGGGAGCCTGAGTACTAGTTTGAGAACCAAATCTGACTTTTGGCCTAAGCTATCTGGAGAACTGAGAACTGCATCCCTAATTCAAAGATGTATTGACATACATTTAATTCCTTCATCCTCATTGCTTTCCTGCCCCTCTCTTTCCTTTTCTCTGATACAGATTTCCTTTGAGTTCCGCTCCCTCTTGCATTCTCAGTTGGCCACTGTGTTCTTCGATGAGGTGGTCAAGCAGATGGTATCTGCTTTCGAACGACGGGCCTGCAAACTGTACGGCCCTGAGACACAGATACCACGTGAGCTGATGTTCCACGAGGTCCACCACACGTAGCCTCTCTGCACTCTGGGGCCGGCAGGGCAGGAGGGTATTCTGGGGATTCTGGGAAGGAGGGGGCCTTTGGAGGGTGGGGGAGGGTTGAGCCTCATAGAGACAAGTTCACGTGCCTCAGTAACTACAGTGCCTGGTCCAAACGAAACATTTGATTTTAAGTTTTTAACCTAATTTTTTGTTGCTGGATCTAATATTTGGGCTTGACAGCATCTGCGGAGCCCTGCCTATCTGCCTCACTCCTTCTGTGGGTAACATACTGTGTACGGAGTACACTTGAGCCATACTGTTTTTAATGGCGGCTGGCGAAGGGGAGCATGTGGATGGCCTGATAAGGGTTTGGTGAACAGGTATTGGTATTGTCAATGGTGCGCTATAAATGAAAAAGGACATGGAGATTGAGCCTGTTATTTGAGGACTTGAGCCAAAGTTATTTTTCAGGAGAGGCTTTTTTTATTTTTTATTTAATAAACGCATAAAAACCATTTGAGCAGAGCAGAACTGGATGGTCCAGTAAGGTGGAATGTGTAAAACCACCTGTATCTATTAAAAAAGTGATAGGGTTATACAAAAAAGGGACAAGGAGACTTGCTTAAGGTGCACAGTATAGAGAGGGTATAGTGTATTATTATGTTGACTGATGCTGCAGCCAAGTGCACATGTCCAATCAAGGCTGCCTATAGGACTGACTAGCAGACTTTTGGTTTTCCAAACCAGCATCAAGGGCTTTCCATCACACGAGTGCTTACAAGATTATCTCAACAAAATGAACACTTGCACAGCAATAACTTTCAGTCGTGCATAGTGACAACATGGTTGCCAAGTCTGAAGGAAAGGATTTTAAGTTAGAACATTTTAGCTTTGCTAAAAGTGCTTTAATTACTATTTTTCACTGATGGGAGCACATAATGTAACATCTTATGGTGTATCTCAGTAAGTGTCCAGATCAAAGGACTATTGTTTATTGTAAAAGTGTGCAATATATTTGTAAAGATTGATTTTTAAGATGGATAGTTTCTTGCAAGTTAGGATGTCCTCTGCTTCTAAAAGGGCCCAAACTCAGGGGCCTGGGGGGGAAGTGATCTTTCCATCAGGACACCCCTGAGATTGCTGTAGTAGTGAAGTATCTGCCAAATTAGACCGTAAAGATTCCAATTCAACACCCATGCCCTTACTGCTTTTTTTACCTAGTGAGTTACATATTATTTATCATTATCATAAAATACGTATGCGTTGACATCCTATAAAATATTTATTTTGGTTCCGGGAAAACCACATGTACATAACTGATGTAAGACCACAAACTAGAATACAGTGTACAATATATATATATTTTTTTGTTTGTCTGTTTCTTATAGGGGGATGTTTTAGTATTGATTAGGGGTTTTAATGAGTGTCATGGTATGTATCCAGCCTGCATGGTTCATAAACTATTTTTATATTTAAAAATCAGCTTGTCTGGTGTGGTGTCTGCAGAGTGTCTTGTTTGTCAACATCAAGTTCAGACTGGTTTCACCTTCAAAATAGATAATCATGTGAGGGATAATATTAGCTGTACACGTCATAGCAGCTGGTGGGCTGGGTTAAGTGCAACTTTGCATTACACAATTACATACAACATCAGTAAATAACCAGGATAATAATTTTTTTTCTCTTCTTCTCTGACTAAAGTGCCCAAAGCTATAGCATTGCTTCACATGTAAAGGGGTATTCTTGCCTACAACAAGCATTTGGTGTGTTATCTGTCATGTTATGCAACATTTTGTAGTGGAGTGTTGCATCATACATCAGATAGACAGAATTCATGTTCAATTCAATTTATATATTGTGGCTGTTCAAGGAAAAACGTCTCTCCATTTTTTTTTCCAATTGATAATTTTTCATCATGATGATCCCGACAGCTACTGTTTACAGTGGGTAAAAAATGTATTATGATGTTACTGTTGGACCAATAGAAATGAACATTTCGCGCTAGAGCTATAAAAGTTGCAAGTGTTGTAGCACACTTTTTTTAGATATACAAATAACAAAATGCTTCTAAAAAGTATCAGAAGTGTAAGAAATTGTCATTTAAACTACAGAAAATATGCAGCATGTAAAAGGTTATTACTTGAAAGCTCATTTTGTGAAATAGATTATTAATTTGTGCACAGTAACTCACGTTCCCCACAACACTCTGGGGCAGTAGAAGCACACAAGTAGCATTTTTCTGCATCTTAAAAGTGTGAAAAAACCCACACCAGCAGTATGGCTGGAAGTACGTGTAATGCTAAAATGGGAAATTAAATTGTTTGTTATCTAAAGGTAAGGCTCAGTTATTTCATGTGTTTTATTATTATTTAATCAGTTAAAAAAACAAAGTAAAGATAGCTGGAGCAAGGCAGCAGCCACAGCAGGGGGTGCCTCAGAATCCAGAGACACGTTTAGGAGGAATTAGCAGGCAGACTGCAAATCTTACATTGCTGCTGACTTTAAATATGACTTCACCCTTGTCTAAACACATTTTGGACATTTTATACATTGAAAGGCCCTTTGATTACAAACATCTGGATTTGTTGTTTTGTGTTCAAAGTACCAGGGTTGGGCAAAATCTACTTTACTTTGAAAAAGTAGTGAAGGCTAACTGTTGAATGTGTAATGTAGTCCTTTACAATACATAATAACGTATTCAGAATACATTTGGATTACATCTTGGTAAAGCAAATGGGATTTTTTTTTAAAACTTAATTCACACCATTTCTCACTGAGCTGGGAAATTTCTTTATGTAATTGTTCTGTTATACGTGTCCTGAAAATTTTGCTTATCATTTAAATGAACGTCTGTAAAAAAAAAAAATTCCTCTCTCTCACCGCCTGCTTCAGTTCACTGCTTCTGCCTCAATCACGTGAGCAAGTACAACACTGATGCTAAACTTATTACTCGGAATCATGTGCACTACTGAGGAAATCATTTGTTTGGAAATCCCTCAAAAGAGTTTATTAACATTGAGAGTAATAACTGGCTCATCACATTGATTTATCAGTCTACTCAGGCTTTAGCAGGAACTTCAGTGTTTGTGAAGAAGACATTAAAGGAGGTAATCTTGAAAATTCTAACATATTTGTTACATGCCATGTGCTGATTATAATATAGTTAATAAACAAGCATTAATGGTGTTTCTTGTATTTTTTTTATTAAGTGGGTAATTCTAAGCATATTCTACTGAAAAGTAAAACTGTATTCTGATAGTCTTTGCAAAATGTAATATGGACTGAATACAGATTTAAGGACTGAATAAGGACTTAATTTCTGTATTCTGAATACGTTTTCCCAGTTCTTGTATTGTGTTACATCCTAACCCTGTGTATTACCTGATGGACTACAACTACCATAAACACTAGAACACTAGAGACGATTTAAGGGGAGCCTGGCCACTTCCTATTGCTCTGGTTATATCAAAACATAGATGCCAGAGGGCGCCCATGAGCATGTTCTCAATGAATGGGGGAACGCTAGAGGGCGCATGTCCAAAATGAATTGGTTAAAGATGGAGCATTTGAGCAAAATCACATAAATGCTTAAACATTTTTAATATGAAACAATAGATTTATCTTCTAAACACAGAACAGCATAAAACATTAACACTGCCGTTACATTTTTGAGCGCTTTAGAACTTGAGTTTAAGAAGGTGCCACATGAACGTTCATGACGTTAGTGAGCGCGAACAGCCAATGAGCTGCTCCGATAACTATTTTAACTTCTCGTTTTTAGCCATTGAGCTCCATTTACTCTCATTCAGTAAGGACTCGCTCGCGGGCGGTCTCTGCTGTATTGTTGCATTGTACAGCCCTGGATAATCAGACTCCTAGCAGTGGTAACGCAAGCTATCTGCATTGTTCATTCGTCGGTTAGTAAAAAAAAAAAAAACATCCCCTAAGCAGTGGTAGTTTTTCAACCGCTCCTCTGGCCTTCAAAATGCGTCACTAGAAAGGGTTTCTCCTGGACTTTAAAGAGGAAATATCACTCTCCAGCCTATTGTGGCACTGCAGAAGGTAAAGTGATTTAAGGAGTCTTAATTCAAAATGACTTAAAATGGAACTTAAGAGTCCTGAAAACAACATTTCCTAATATTATTTAAAGAGGTCACATACCTTGGGGTTGAACTGCAGGACGTTAAACACAAACATTCCAACACCAACCCTCAAGGACAGAATTTAGACCTTCTTAATCCAGTAATAAAAACTCTTACAGACTCCAGAAACTACCTGTAAGTTAGCCATAGAGAAAAATGCGATGCACAAAAATTTAAGCATCAAGTTCAGATCTTAAGAGATTTGTCATCTTTCCTGCATCAGATTCACTGAGATCAGATATATGAAACTCTACTGAGTAAAGAACATTTGGGCATGGTTGTCTTATACAATTAGATTTTATTAAAAGTTACCAGTGACTACTGTACAAAACATTTGTAAGATCTGTGTTGCACATTTGTAAAGTAACTACTTTGAAAAAGATTGTTCAGTTATTCTTTGCTAAACAGCAGCCTTGTTAATGTTACTGCTCAGAATTAGGAGTAGGATGAACTTTCACTAATGGCATATTGTGGCCTGCTCATGTTCACTACTTTGAAACATCTCCCCTCCCTCATCCATGCTCTGCCAAACTCCAGTCTCGACTGAAGACCTTCAACTCCCCATCAAATATAAGTGACTAGGAACATGCAAACATATTACTGCTTCTAAATGAGGTTCTCTGATTCAAATACATCTACATTCAGGGGTTCTAGTCAGTCAGCTTGTCTTGTTTGATTTACCTTTGTTCCAGTGTTCACTGTTTGTATGACATCAGAAACAAACTCAAGCATGTTTATTCTTCAGTGAGATGCTTTATTCGCCTCAACTGAGGATTGAGCGTTCCTCCACAACAGTGGACAAAATGTACAAAAAAAAAGAAACACAGAACGGACAAATATAAGAAAGGAATTAGCAGACATCTACCTTAAAGTTCCTCAATTCCTTGTTTCCCCCCTTTCAAAGACTTCAGCCCTAGTGTGTTGACTGTAGCCCACCAGATTCACAAACAGCAACATGCACTCCAACCTTAACACTATTCATTCAGTGCACAAACACGGCAGATTAAAAATTTCCTCACTGCTTTAAGAGTGTTGAAATTTCCATTTTACCATTAAGTAAACTGAGCATGGAGAGATCAAACAGCTAGATTTTGGTCTTCAGAGTGACCAGGTCAGGTCTTCAGTCTTGAGTGGAGAGGCAAGATCATACTTAGTTTTTGAGAAGGACATATGACGGGGGACGGTGGTCTTCCATTACTTTGCTGCATGTCACACTCATGGGCAGTCAGTCAGCAGGTCAGGAGGCTGCTAGGGAGGGGGCCAATCATGTCCTCCACCCCTCAGCCCCCTACCTTTAAAGTCTGTAGAGCACTTTTGGTAGTGGAGTTTAGAATCCCATACCGCCGCCCATGCCTCCCATTCCGCCCATTCCTCCTGGCATTTCCTTCTCTTCCTTCGGCAACTCTGTGACAACAGCCTCAGCAGTCGACAGCAGTGATGCAACACCAGCGGCATCCAGGAGTGCGGTCCTTACGACCTGCAGAGGGAGCCAGAGAGACATTTAAAACATCCGCAATTACTTTAAGTCACAGTATGTGCCTTGGGTTTCTGTACCCTAATACGCTTTTTGAGGAATTCGTGGAATAAAGCGTTCTTAAATGTGCAAGAAAGCAAACTGATCTTAATTCGCTTGCAGAGGACTGCTCTTGAACCCTGATCCTGGAGTTTACTTCCAACCCAAAATCTAGCACACCTGATCAAACTAATCGAAAGTGACAACTAGATTCTGCAGATTGAGGAGTTAGACACATGTAGCAGAGTAGGATTTAAACTAAACTCTTCATGAAGTTAGATCAGTTAAGAGGACCATGATCATAAATTTACTCTAAAAGCCGACATACCTTAGTAGGGTCAATGATGCCTCTCTCCACCATGTTAACATATTCCCCATGAAGGGCATCGTAGCCAACCTCTGCATCACTCTGCAGAATCTTCTCCACCACCAGAGAGCCCTCCACACCTGCATTCTTGGCAATGGTCATGGCAGGGATGCGCAGGGCTCTGCGGATGATGTCAATACCTAAGAGAAAAGCATTCAAAATGAACATGCTTAACTAATTGGACTACATTGTTCTTTAGACAAGTGATGCACAACGTCAGTCCTGGAGAGGACTTTTTCTCCCAGCACAATTTGGTGATTTCACTGCTCAAACATGCTTGATTCAACTCATCAATTGCCAGGTTTAGTGAGTGTACTGGAGTAGGGAGCTACCAAACAGCTGGACACCAGCCCTCCAGGACCAGAGTTGTGCACTCCTGCTTCAGACTATACCATGTCAACTAAGCTTAAATGAGAATGCAAATTTAGACAAAATTTTGCTGTCTGCAGAATTATCATGTTAAATGATAGTCATACTTACCAAACATACCAAATTCATTACGAAATGCTACATGCATTACAGAGCCTATAGCATGCAATTTCCCTGATGGCAACACAATTACCACACGTTTACCAAGTACGCTAGCTTTAAATATTAATTAACAAATTCCAACAAATGTTCTGTTCATTTGCGTGGAACCTAAATGATTGCCAAAGTGGCATGTTGGCACCTTTCTTCTGGGGAAGCTTGCTTGGTGTTCAAAGCATGTATGTGTGTAGTTAGTATGCAGTGCACTTAGTGATGTTCTGTTTGAATAAACTATAATGTGTAGCCTATATCACATGCCTCGTAAAAGAGAATGATAGAATGACATTTTGTATATTGTCATTTTCGACAATATCAAAAAAGGCTGTACGCAGGATCACGGCCTTATTCAGATTAAAGACAACCATATCCTCACCAACTTTCTGGTCATCATTGGCAGGTTTGAGTGTGTCCAAAGCAGGGATGCAGCGCAGGAGTGCACAGCCACCTCCAGGAACAATGCCCTCTTCAACAGCGGCCCGAGTGGCATTCAGTGCATCTGTCACACGGTCTTTCTTCTCATTCACCTCCACATCACTTGTGCCACCAACCTAAAACAGAGCAGAAAAAAAACACTGCAATTGACTAATAGGGAGTGGCGTATTACTCAGTCAGTAAGACGGTATTTGATTCAGTTCTATGAATTAAGGCCTGGACTTGGTATTGAGAATTATATGACTTAGTTTGGACCTGAAGACAATTGACAGCACTTCTATCATGTAACCACTCCCAGCCAACCCCACTCACCTTCAGCACAGCCACTCCATCGGAGAGCTTGGCCAGACGCTCATTGAGCTTCTCCTTCTCATAGTCGCTGGTGGTGTTCTCCAGCTGCTCGGCGAGCTCAGCCACACGCTTCTCGACTGCAGCTGGGTCACCCCGGCCCTTCAGGAGCATGGTGTCGTCCTTGGTCACCACCACTTCGCCAACACGGCCAAAGTCATGCGCCTGGATGTCCTCAACAGCAAGGCCCGTAGCCTCATCGCCAAACACCTGAATACAGAGTGTTAGGAGAGATTATTTAGTTATAAAACATTAAAAATGTCTGATGTATGCCTATGAACAACTTATAAAGCATCAGGGAGAGGTTGGCTGGAATACGTACAACGCCTCCAGTAGCAATTGCCATATCTTGGAGCTGGTTCTTCCTGTTGTCTCCAAAGCCTGGGGCCTTCACTGCAACAACCTGCAGTCCAACCTTTAACCTGTGGGAGTTAAATACATAGTATGGCATTGACCTTTCACCCACATCCACCAGCAATAACATGCTATGCATACCCCACCTCTAATTAACATTACACTTTGAGGAACAGGAATAGAGACTGCATGGAACTACTTACTAGTTACAAAGAACAATTTAAAACAGTTATTTTAAGATAGCACATTTATAGTTAAGAGCAGGCTATCTTTAAGTATTTAACAAAGTATGGAATAAAACAAAGGGCAGACAAACCTGTTGAGGACTAGAGTACTGAGGGCCTCTCCATCCACATCCTCAGCCACAATGACCAGGGGCTTACGGTGCTGGTTGGCAATCTCCAAGGCAGGCACAATGCTCTGGACACTGGATATCTTCTTCTCACTCAAGAGCAGATAGGCATCCTGGAACTCACACTTCTGACCTAGAAAGAATAATGGACAGATGAAATCAGTGGAAAACTAGGAGATTCTTACACCAAATTTATTTCATTTAAGAGTGGGACACATATGCTAACCTTTTGTTGTGTTGATGAAGTAGGGGGAGATGTAGCCACGGTCAAACTTCAAGCCTTCAATGATCTCCAGCTCATCATGCAATGTTTTGCCATCCTGTATGATACCGAATTTCAGTCAAAACCAGCAGGCTTGAGAAAATCTATTATTTACCAGCTATCAATTAACCAAGCATGGAAACACATACCTTTACAGTGATGACTCCTTTCCGTCCTACTTTCTTCATGGCATCGGAGATGATTTTGCCAACCTCCGTGTCTCCATTGGCAGAAATAGTGGCCACCTACGTCAACGAAGCAAAAGATGTTAAAGCCAAATGACCAAAAATGCTGCGCCCTACACGCTTGAACTCAAACCATTAAGAATGTCTCCATTTTATTGTATTTTTTTAACTCTACCTGGGCAATCTCCTCAGGTGTGGTGACTGGCTTGGACAGCTTCTTAAGCTCATTGATGATCGTTTCTACGGCAAGCATGACTCCACGGCGGATCTCCACAGGGTTGGCACCTTTGCTGATGGTGTCAAAACCCTCCTTAGCGATGGCACGTGCGAGCACAGTGGCTGTGGTGGTGCCATCGCCAGCCTCCTCGTTGGTGTTGTTGGCCACATCCTGCACAAGCTTGGCCCCAATATTCTTGTACTTGTCCTTCAGGTCAATACTTTTGGCCACTGTGACTCCATCTTTGGTGACCTTTGGGCTGCCCCAGGTCTGCTCAATGATGACTGTGCGACCCTGATAGGAGAGGCAGTCATTAAGCTATAATATAGTTTGACCTAAAAACTAGCATATTCTTGAAGCCAGTCTGAGAAAACCTGTAACCAGCGTGTTGCTGACTGCTACCCTAAAAATCAAACCATTACTGTCTTTACACTGTCAGTTGTTGACTTAGTAGCAGGCCAGGCCAGGGTAACTTCACTAACCTTTGGTCCCATGGTAACAGCCACTGCGTCTGCCAGCAGGTCCACACCCTGGAGCATGAGGGCCCGGGCATCTGCTCCGAACTTTACATCCTTGGCATAGGTGCGAGTGAGGTGTGGGGCCAGTGCCCTGCATACTGGCCTCATCTGTCTCATCACACTAGGCAAGCGCAGCATCTCTGAGGGGTGAACAGAAGGTAGTGTTGAGTTTTCACTGAGCAGCTGAAGCAAATTTTGTAGAGGAGTTTCATAATAAGCTGTTTTAAAAGTAGAATTTCATCGATTTTTCAAAATGGTCACCTTACAATGACCTGCATGTACCCCTCCAACGTGAATAGATTAAAATAAATGGATTAACAACGTTTTAGGACAAAACTTGATCACATATAACACAATGTCTCATGCTCAGGCAGCATATTCATAACATTTCCTGTAATAACTTTCTGTGAGGAAGCTTTAAGAGGCATTAAACTCTTCAGACGTCTGGTTCCTATCACCACCACTGTGAACAATTCTGACTTAGTAAGTTTTTCTCGAACAGAGCATTTCGCATAAAATCACTCTGAACGACTTCGCTTTCATCTCAGAAACTGAATCATGCCGAAACTTTGAAAAACTGGAGAATTCCCCTTTAGCTAATATCACGGTTAATTATATCATGTTTCTTAAAAACTACACGGCTGTTAATAACATCACTAATATATGTAATTGAATCGCTTTTTTGAAACAAGATGGTTCGTTAATATCAGATTTGATTAGCTTTCTTAAAATCACAGGATGGTTAATTCGTGCCCATCCTCTCGGCCCACGTGTGCTCAGGTCACGCGTCACAAGGTCAAACTCTCCCGGCGTCATCATGGCAACAGCTCAGAGTACAGCAGCGGCGCTCAAAGCCATGCTGCCGGGACACCTCAGTGACAAGACGAGTTCAAAGTGAAATATTCTGGTGGATATCATACCGTGGCCGCCGCAGCACCTCCCTAATTCAAATCAGGACGTGTTAAACTGCCTCTGCTAGCTCTCTGACATTGAGAGGTCTTACTGAAGGCTGCGTTAGCTCGCGTTAGCCAGGCAGCCCCGCAGCGCGAGGAGGCGCTTCGGCTCTCAGTGAAAATTCCAGAAACGAGCGGACATTAACTAAAACTACCATTAACACATAAACACTACCGTTACATGAATAACTAGCTAAACGTTAGCTTTAATGGCCCGCTCTCAGGTGTTAACGCACAGCCTGAACACTGAAAAGGAACGACGATGTCATTAAGCACCTGGTGATGCAACGCTGATCTGAGATAGTGCAACTACTGACACAGTACAGTTAATTAATAACAACGTTATTTATTAGTTAGCGGTCTGTGCTGCCTTTCAGGTGATCTAACTGCTTATTTAATTCAGCCTCAAGTTCTCCTTCTAGCTAATGCGAGGCTTAAGTCAGCTTCTTGTTCGAATTTCCCGTTCCACCTTAAGTGGTGCAGCAGTCCCAGTCTGGCGTCTGAAGCGCCACAATGTGCCTACTGCACAATTTAAGGTGGAACAGGAAAAACGTGGAGGGAGCCAACTTCAGACCCATGTTAGAAGAGGTTAAACTGTACGTTATATAAAAGTTATTTGCAAGAATCTGAAAAAAAAAAATTGTGACAACTTACTGAATGTGAGCGCAGAAGCAGTAGAGAAGGTGCTAGAAGAGCCGGACTGTTACAGCGTGACTTACAGCTCAACTAAAACCTAGCGCTGCACACACGTGGGCTTCTTCATCCGGGTAACACACCGGCCCGCCCCGCAACCTGATTTAACGACCTTTGTCTATAGATTAAATTCTTCTCCTCTGTGCATTAACATAAAAACATATTACTTGTCGCTTTATCATAAAACATATTGTATTCGCCAACCAAAAATGTGCAGACAGTATGTTCTGCCTTGCACTTTATTTATGAAAATAAACGTTATGCTCGCTCCGGGGCGCCGACTTCCAGAAGTTTCTCAGCCGCTATTGGAGAAAAAAAGGCGAGGTCAGGGGTCGGTGTTGTGAAACCACGATTCACATACGGAGCTTTTTTGCAGATTATAACCAGTCTTACTTCAACACCCGTCCAGACTGTTCACTCGGTAATAGTCAGCGTGTGCAGACAGTTTATTCGTTTATTGAGATTTTTTCTAGAAGTCCAGCACGACGTTTATTAAAGGCAAGGTGTTTCGCGCATGCGCGTTTGCCTTCTAGATATTTCTTCACGTGTTTCTGCGCTGTGTGCTCAGTGTGGCCCGCTCGCTTCACTCCGCCGCTGCTTCAGCTCCCGAACCTGAACTACAGACATGGTAAGAAGATTAAACACTACAGTTGTGTTATTTCTGCAGAGTATTCACATTATCTCTGTATTAGGTATAACCGTAAGGTTCAAATAGGAGCACATTTTTATTCCTCGCATGTACGTCAACTTAGCCCGCTAACGTGTAGCGCCGCACTCTTGTAGCTCCCTCACAAGGTCACGGTTAGTGCTGTAATTCTCAGACGGACGTGAATCATTGGTGACACTTGTTCATTTGTTTTAGCTGAACCTAAAATGTACTTGTGTCACATCTATGTGCTTCATGCTTACGTAGCAGTGTAACCAGTATAGCTCTGGCGAGATTTTGGAGGTCTGAGTTAGGCGTAGCTACGGCTGGTTTAGTACCAAGCGTAACGTTAACTTGAATATTACAGTTTACAGTGTGCATCGCATCTGTCCAGCAATGTGGTTGTTAGATGCCTAGCTAGCTACGTCTCTTCCTCAGCTGGCTCTGCTAGGTATTTGCCACACTGTACAATGTGAACAGTTGTCACATGGTCAGTGCTCTTACTATACTGCAGCTTTTTAAAGGGAATTCCCGCGATTTTTCAAAATGTCTGCATAATTCAGTGGTTGAGATATAAACATAATCATTCAAAGTGGTTTGGCGTGAAATGATTCATTTGTAGAAAAACGTACAGACTCGGATTTCATTACAATGGTGGTGATGGGAACCAGGGGCCCTGATGTCTACAATGCAAATGTAGTCTTTTTATTTACTATCCAAACCACCACTGAACCTGCACGTGTCTTGTGAGTTTAATATGTAATGTTGATGATGGTAAAATAGTGGTAAACTTAAAAAAAAAAACAAAAAAAAACACCTTCTTTGAGGACTTTTACCTTACAACACCCTTCATGTATCCCTCCATGAATTTAATACATGAATGGATTAAAATAAATAGAGTAAAATATGTTTTAGGCCAAAACTTTATCACAACGCTACTGTAAAACTGTGTCTCAGACATCAGGCTAGTATTCATGAACATTTCATGTAATAACCTTTTGTGAGGGAGCTTTCAGAGGTGGACGTCTGGTTCCTATCACCTTCACTATGACCTATTCTGATTCTGAGTTTCTCTATAACAGAGAATTTCACACCAAACCACTCTGAACGCCTTTTTTTTTTTACATCTTAAACACTTAATCATGGAGAAATTTTGAAAAATCAGTAGAGTTCCCCTTTAAGTAACACTCAGTGTCTTCGCTAACGTATCTTCAGTAATTCTGAAACTATTGAGCTGGTCATGCTGTCTAGTGTCCTGCTGGAGGAGAGACATGGGTCATTTTGAATGGAAGTGTTCTCTTGGGAGGCCGCTAAACACCAGTGGTCACTCATAAGTTTTCCCTTTATCTAAAGTGAGCTGCTTAAAATGCAAGAATTGTAAAGGGAAAGGTGGGGAAAAAGTTTAAATTTCTAAATTTAAATTCTAAGCTTCAGGTTCAAATTTCAGCAGTTTTTGGGAGTTGCAAAGTTTAAATATATATTTATGGCTTTAAAAATATCCCTTAAACATTTAACTTATGATAAGTACTTGATGTTTTTTTTATACAAGTGGCCACAGTTTCTACATCTTCACTGACAGAGACAGATTGTAGCTCTTGTGGTTTAGATGGTTTGTCATCTTTATTAAATTTGTTACATTTCACGTCATTCCTTCTATTCTGTTCTTAAACTCTCTTTATTTGGTATTTAACTAATGTCGTAATGGAAAGTTGCTTTGTGTTGAACGTAATGTTGCTGAATAAAGGGATTTCTTTTCTTGCCTATGTCTCTGCTCAGCTGCACTTTAGCAGCCAGTTTGTTCCAGAATTTTCATAAGATTCCATGTGTGGTTCAGACTTGAGGGCTTATCTTGGTGTCAGTGTCCTTTGTCCTTCACTGAAGTGGTAAACATTTACAGAACCTCCAAATTCTCTCCCTCCTACCTTCATTCCTCACAGTCTACAGACCAGTGTCGTCCATCCAGTCCTGCCCTCGCACACACATGACCTTCACACAAGGACATAGACACATCTGCTAATAGACGTGCACCTGGTGTTGCAAAATCTTTATCTAAGGCAGTCTGAGTTAGATTGTTCTATCACTTTCCTGAACTTTTTCTTAAAGTCTGCCTCAGCTTACCTAGCTAGCACAGGCATTTTCTCCTCTGGGAAAAACTAAGACAAAAGTTTCTTTCTAGTGTGGTCATTTAATCTGCTTAAAAAGAGGGCGCCTCTAATTAAGATGTAATACAAAAGCTAATTCCCCAGCCAGAAGACGGACAAGAAAGAAATCTGCTTAGACATGGTTTAATCTTTAAACACATGTCAGCTACATATGTTGATTTGCATTTATTTACTGATAGGGAGCAAATGTTTGATACAGCCGTAATGGACTGCTTCTTACATGTTGTAGTCTAGTGTCCCCTAGTGGTGCTAATTTGAAACTGAATGTTGCTTTATACCGTTACACAACACACATTCTTCTCACTTGACTCTTTATTATCTTCGCCCCCTCTGCAGGCTAAGGCTTTCCGGAAATTTCTCCCAATGTTCGACCGCGTGTTGGTGGAGCGGTTAGCAGCAGAGACTGTCACTAAAGGAGGTATCATGCTTCCAGAAAAGTCACAAGGGAAAGTGCTGCAGGCCACAGTGGTAGCTGTAGGACCAGGAGCCGTTAACAAGGTCAAAAATATCCCCTATGTTTAGATAGTTTATATGGACTGTTTTTGTTTGAGGAGGCTTCTGAATGAAACTATATTGTCTTTTGTTTCAGAATGGAGAGGTAACGCCTATCAGTGTCAAAGTTGGAGAGAAGGTTCTACTACCAGAATATGGCGGCACTAAAGTGGTTCTCGAGGATAAGGTGTGTTATTTGAATATATGCAATCCATATCAAAGATGAAGATTCCCACCTAAAGAGTCTTTTACAAAAACACATGTAATAACACATTGATAATATGATTTTATTGTAGCAAGAGTTACCCGTCTTGTTCTAATATCTCATTTTTATCTTCTTGTCTAGGACTATTTCCTGTTCCGGGACGCAGATATTCTAGGAAAATACGTGGACTAATGTGTTAGTGCTCATCATTTAACCAGCCTTGTCATTCTAGAGGAGTGGAGAAAATGGTTGTTCCACGTTTGTTTTTTTTTCTATGTCATTCATCTGTAAATAATTATGATAATGTTTTGTTACATTAATAAAGAGAACTTGGGGATACCGATACTGACCTTTCTGACTTTAGATGTGTGTTAATTTGGTTTCCTCAGAGGTTGTCTCTCATTCTTGGCTGAGTAAATGAGATGCTGACATTGAAGTAATCAGGATGGGCCTCATTGTGTATCTAAAATCCTGTTAATTGATGCTAACATTATGTATCCAATGCTTTTTTTTTTTAAATTTATTTTAATTTTATCCATTCGTTTGGCTGGGATGATGTTTTCCTCCTTCTGGATATATTACACTGTTAAAGATTCTTCAGAGGATCTTTAGTAAAGACAGAGGTTCTGTATAGAACCATGAACACTCCAAGAACCGTTTGCATGCCTAAAAGTTTATTTGCATCATTAAATGGTTCTTCAGTATGATGGAGAATGTGTTGTATAAAGTTCTATATAGCACCAAAAAGAGTTCTTCTAAAGTTACGATGTCAAGCTTGAAGAACCATCGTTTTGAGTATATCATGGATTGTAAGTACTGCTGGTACACTGAATGTTTCTCATAAAAAAAAAAACAAAAAAAAAAACCAGATTTGGACCAATTGAAGAGAGCCTGCAAACATTTATAGACACAAGTAGGTGATTGGATGACAGCCCATTATGACTATATAATTTTTACGAATTGTTTTATTTTTACTTCCTTATCCTTTGTAAATAGTTTTAGTTACAGAAAATGTATGTATGTTTTCATGGCCTTATTAGGGCTTAAATCATGGAAAACTAAATTTTTCTCACATTTAAAAAAAACAAAACAAAAATAGTCTGTTTCAAACTGCCCACTAATCAACGAAAACCTAAATATCGTGATACATAACGTATCGCGAAAATCTCGATTATCTGTTGAGTTTTCCTGTAATTGTTCAACCTTCGTATTACTGGGTCCTCAACCAGCAGCTGAAGTGACCGCTAGGGGCGCTCACAGACACGCACAGACAGACGGTCCTCATCCAGCCGGTCGAGATGGTCATGGCGGAGGGCGCAACCGTTGTTGTGAGGAGGAACAGACCAGGCACCAAGGCGAAGGTAAAGCAAGACCGAGATTTAGGTCAGCTGAGCAGTTTTAAAAGAACTCAGTTAAAACGATAATCATGGATTTAGTCAACAAGCGTTACACGTTATTGTGAAAAGAATGCTGCTAACGTTAACTAGCCGAGGAAAATGTCTGTTGTATTTTGCTTACTATAGAGCAGAGCCGCTAACGTTAACGTTATATGCTCATGGCGTAAAATACAAAGACCATTTAAGGTAAAC